ACTGACCTCTTTTCTCCAGCAATGGGGAACATAAAGTGAAATAGAAATAAAGTAACCAGTGGATTCAAATTGATTTTATTATTATGTAGATATTATAATTATCCAAATAAAAATATTTCACACTTCAAAAAATTAAAATATTCTGACTGGAAGCAATAAAAATGCTAGTTTTTTAAAAAGTAATATGATCGAGGATACAAAAAGCAACTTGACATGATTACCTTTTGCAAACTTGCCTCATCGAAAACCCCGCGCTGAAGTATTTCCGGTCATATCGGGGTCACTCGCGGGTCATGAGCCATGCATACACGTGTTTGTTACGGAGGTAATAAAAATCACCCGCTGCAGCGTAAATGGGTACATGATATTTATCCCGCTGCTGCAGCGGGATAACTTTTCTACTGTGAATGCATTTGTAGCGGTGTTATGGCGGTGTCGCCGCTCCGCTACAACGCCGCTACAAATTTCAAAACCACTGTGAATGGGGTAATAGCTACCCATTTGACACTTCCCGATGCACATTCTGTCAAAGCCAGCAGAGGGCAGTAGTATAATTTCCACCCGCCAATATATTGTTTCATCATGTCAAAAAACGTTTCAACAACTCCGGTTTGAAATAATTATGATTAACTAAGCTATATTTCTATTAAGGGCCAATATTTCGCCATCTCCCATCTCTATGAGTCAACGTTCCTAATAGTCCTCTTATTAACTCAATTCATACTGGTCCATAAAAGCATGAATGTCAATTCCTTTAGTGGTCATCAAGTAAAATGATGACAATGAACAAGATTTCATTCAATTGTACATGTCCAAAAGTATTGGTAATAATTTTTTTTTTTAGTTCCGTTTTATTTGTAGAAAGTGATAGTCAAGTAAATGATAACAATGGAAAAGGTTTCATATTCAATCACACAAGTCCATAATGTATTGGAAATAATTATGTTTGAAACGTTTTTTTGTAATAGTTTTCTTTGTTTGAAGGATAAAGGCTATTAAGTTTAAAGAGAATCGCTACTACTTTAGAAAAAACCAACCCGAGGGCAACTTCAGTGGACAGGGCTACTAAAATTAAATTTTCAAAAGTAGTTGCAATCTTATTTACTTCATTTTCCCCTAATTTTCCTTAAACTTATTCACTATTCGATAACATCTTTCTACAAATCAAATGCGTACTTAAAACTTGCTCAAAAACACTACATTATATTTTGTGAATATTTTTGAATCACCAATAAAAGCGTTCCTTTTTTCAAGGAGGGGGGGGGGGGAGGGGTTGTGTTTCAAATTTGAATTGTGAAAGCTTGATAGAGAATCTTCAAAATAACCTGGATGAAAAACAAACCAGAGAAAGAACCAAAGTAAATTGACAATGAGAAGAAATCAAATTGGAAGAACTTTTGATCATACAGCAATTGAAAGAAATGTAATCATACGATATAACAGAAGATGGCGAATTGAAAGAAATAAAGAGAGGGAAAATGGAAGAAAGGGTGAATAATCTCATTAAAAAAATAGTTGGTTCATAACGCCTCAGGCCTGAAGATAAATAAGTAATATGACACATTTATTGGATGTTTTTATAGTTTATTCCATCATTACATCACATCAATGAAAAGAGAAAAAGATTGTGCAGCAAAGTTTTCTTTCCGTACACCTCTACACATCATTACACTTCATCTCAAGATAGACCCTTTTTCTCTAGTGATTAGTCCAGCAATTTAATCTGATTTGAAATATTTTGGCACACCCTATTATCTACAAAGGCACCACACGCACATTTCTACAATATTTTACTTTACAAAGAATATATATAGCTAATACACAGCACACAGAGTTTTGATTATCTTCAATTAAAATCTGATTGTTTTTCTCTTCTCTATATACATAGTAAATCCTCACAAAAATAGCAGAAGTCAAGATAGAAAGATTGCATAAGAACTTTTAAAATCCTGATTGTATGAAAAAAGCTAATTTGTTCTCATATTTATACAGTAAAATGATAAGATTTGCATAATGTTATAAAACTAACTACTTATTACAAAGTTCACTAATAGCGTAAGCATTGGAAATCACCCTGCATGAGATAATAATAATTTATTTTCACTCTATTTTATTTAGAAGATATTTTTTTTTTTCTTCAGGGGGGTGTTTCACAAAACTTGTCATCAGTGACATATTGAGTGTTTCCATTATAAGCTAGTGAAATCCTTGCTTCTGATTGGTTATCAGCAGATTTGTCACTGATTTTTGTCATTTTTCATTGAAAAAAGGCTTTGTGAAACACCCCCAGGTTACTGTAATGTCAATTCATTTACTCATCCTTCTCGGGCACACAAAGTAAGGGCACTTCCAAATCAAGGCAACCCACTGTGAAACCATCCCCATTTTCAAAATGGTATCAACCACTTCCTCATATCACTACCAACAAAAGCTAGGCCGTTCTACTTTACAATAGGGGTGACTAAATCCAGCCAAAAGCTTGCTTTACTCACTGCTCTGTCTACATAATTTAAAATCTGACCATACCTATTTCAAAATGGTACAAACCACTTTCTAATATGAACATCACAAAACCTGGGTTATTCTACTTCATAATAGGGTAACTGCATCTGGTCAAATAAGGTTACTTACAACTCTATATCCTATTTAAAATCATGTATCACATTCTAGAAAGTATATCCTAAGCAACCGAGAAAGAAACAAAATCATAATAATGTCTTTTTGGACGGAAAGATATTTTCAAGGTCATGTTTTAAAGAAAAACTCATGTTCAAATAAAGGGCTGCCTAACATAGCAGGATGGCCATGGGCATATTTGTCTGTAAAATTCTCATCTCATGGAATGTTTGAATTGTACATCATCTTTTCTGCACCATTTCCCTTTAAAAAGCAGTTATGTCCATACTATAGGACATTATATTACATAAGAAATTAAAATCATTCTTATTTTTAGACAGAACAAAAAAGAATTACAGTATTTCATTACAATGATTTTACAAAATAAAACTTACAGCAGAAAGAACAAAACAAAAAACTCACTTGCACACACAGAAAATTGCTGATAGATTATCTACTGCACGCTAAGCACATCAATTCGTTGAAACAAAACAAAATAACAATTTGCGCTGATTCATTAAATCATGCAAATAGAATTAATACTGAATGAAATTTACTAACACAGTCCTATTACAACCAATGCTCATGGATTAAGCCTGAGGGTAGCTATGGTTTCAAGTATGATAAAAGCTGAGAAAGTAATCATTTACAGTCAGCATTGCCTGCAAATCTTTTGATAATATATTTCTCATTTTAAGTACTCACACCAAAACGACAGAGACTAATTACACTTCTTGCTTGAAAAATATTCATATTCCTTAATAGACTTAATTGAATTTATCCTTGAATATTTAATGACATTGCCTTAATTATTTTGATAACTACTTTTGATAACCACATCCGCGATAAATTTTTCGAAATCTTTTATAATATTGCTGAGTGATGTTACCATGTATTTTGATGTTTGTATTATAATGAAAATATTTGATTACTTTGTAAAACAGACAATATCAGCCTTGAGCTGCATGTAATGTTTCTTTTATAATTAAACCAATTCAATTCAATCAATTCAATGAAAAAACAGCCCATCTTATTATCTTTTTTAAAATACAGGTCTTGAAAAGGATGTACTGGAAGTACATGAAAAAAAGGTTTAAATAAAAATGCAAATTCAAGAGCATATTTTAACCTAACATTTCTTTCCACATGAGAATTCCCGTAAATGATATAAGGTACTGTTTTGAGTGAAGTAGAGAATAATATACTGTAATTTCAATTACCACCAACAAAAAAACATGAACAAAACATGCAAGTTGAATAAGTTAAAATATCAGATTGAATTCCAAAACCAAGCATTGCAAATATCTTTCTAATGTGCACATCAAAAATCTGTCTTTCATACAAACTCTAAAATGTTATGATAACAATTAGGAGAATCTGCAACAAACCAAGCAAATAATGCCTGCATACCAATCTCAATCAATTCAATACAGCTTATAATATCTCTTTTCAATTTCCGCTGTAACATACACGATAAAGTCTATCTGATCAGAAAACGCACATCAAGATATAAACTCTCAACTATTTCAACTCACGTCATCTTTAAATATCTCTTTTCAGTATCCACTGTCAATGTACACATTACGTAAGTCTTCAACAATGAGCAAGCTATCATCAAATCTAAAATAAATAATCGTACAGAACTGTTTTGTCATGCCACGTCTAATTTCTACACAGAAAGCCGTTTGCAAATTCACGATCAAACCTATTTTATCTAGAAGCTTGAATATTTTGCACCTGTGAATAGTTATCTTACATAATCCTCATAACGAGAGTGTACCTTATCTGCAAAGTGCGAGCACCAAGAGACAAATTTACAAATAACTCTTTGAAATATGTCTCCAAAGGTTGTGCACTTTGCATCGTAACAAGACGATACGGTTTAAAACTTTGAGACAGGTGGTTGTTATGTAATCATTCTTTGAGTAAAGCATCGATCTTGTTTCCCTGATGTTGGGATTTGAAAACCTATGTAGTGCAATGGTGCCTGTAAGCACGGTACAAATTCATAATTGCCTTGTTCTCTTGCCCACAGCCTTACATGTATACTTGCTTTCTGACATCAGACGAGGCGCTTAAGGAGGCACGATGGCTCAGTGGTAGAGTAGTGGTCTCGTTACCGGGAGGTCCCGGGTTCGAAACCATGTCAATGCGCTCGTGCCGTTTGGTAAGGCATTACTCCTCATTACCAAGTCCTTCGGAGAGGACTTAAAGCTATTGGTCCCCTGGTTGTTTACTTACAAGCATATACATGCTTTCTTTGCAGTCAGGTAAAACAATCATCATCAAACAAATAAAAAATGAACACCAACTTCAACTATCCAATGTCATGACCCTACATGCTCCTAGCATAAAACATTAAGTACTGCAATCTTGCATTCACTAGTTTCTAGCATATTCGCAAACACTCTATTTTTGTCTTTCAGCACAACACATCCAATTGGTCCAAGAAAGGGAATGATCGTTCCATGAATGGCAGTTCAAACAACCTAGCAAATGGCAGTCATGAGAGCATGTTGTCTCAACACCTCAACAACAAAAACAGCACCACTGCACATGAATCAATGCTATCTACAGCTTAGGCCAACTTTCTATTTTCTCTGCAATATTTTCTCATTTGATCATAAAAAGCTAAAATCCTACTGATTGTCTAAATTGTATAACTTCACATGGCAATAATAGGGTTAACCCATAGCACATTGAAAGAGATAGTTGTGACGAAGGGAACAAGTTTGTAACTTGTGTTTTTTTCAGAAGTGTATCAATCAGATATGATTTACGTCTGGGGACTGACTTTAGCGTCAGACGGTCACCATCCGAAATACTTCTAGGTGAAGACAGAGAGCTGACCGTACCACGGACATTAACACTAGACCAACTCGCATCTCCCCGTTAACGTAAGTGCGGTTAAATCATGGGGCTTCAAAGACTTCCCTCCCATGTATGATTTCTATGAGAGAGACTAACTTGTCTTTGAAGCTCAAGGAAGTGACTGACTGATCGGGAGTGACTTCTGGTGATGCAACTATTCTCTCAACTAGCTATGGGTGAACCCTTTAGCTACAACAAGCCTCAAAGGCAAGTTACCTCATACACGGTCTATCAGCTTACTGTCATAACAGGGTTAAACTTAAATGGAGAACTCCTGCCTTTGAACATGGAATGCTGTTAACATCGCCTAACCAGGATTTCCGATATCTCATTTCTAATGAATTATTTACTTTCAAAATTTTCTGACAAATCATCTGAGACGTCATTGTATCGTCTGTTTTGGAACCAGAAGGACATTAACTCATGGGTTTTTATCATAGAGTTAAAGTCTTCTGAGTCTCTTAACACTGGAATGGAATGCAGATGAATTCTATACATATTGCATGGCTAATCTACAAAAAACGGATCACTTTCGTAACGAGCCGCGAAGCGATGACGGACTGAGGCCTCGCGCTGATCGAGTTCGGCCACTGCTACTTCTAAGCTTGGAATCTATATAGTAAGAAAAGACGGAGGAAGGAGAGAACATTATTTGGAAGAAAACACAACATGATTTCATGTTCTTGATGAGGAAATTATAAAAAGGCTAAAATACTAAATTTTTTGCTTTAGGATATATTTTATTTTAAGGCTACAACTTTAAATCCAACTTAAGTTAAGTTCGACTTAGAGTTAAGTTCGACTTAGAATCTTTGTGAAACACCCCCTTGATGCGCTTCCTGAACATGTGAAAGTACAAGGGGCATTTTGGAGATGCTAGAGGGTTAAGTTAACTTACCCATGCCCGGTGTTGAGGTGCTGGCTGGTTTACCCAGCCTAACGGGGGATATACTACGGTTGCGGTCCTTGGCTAGGCGTGGTGATAGACTGGTAGGAGGCGACGCCCCTCTGGCCGACCTGCGCAGAGAGGAGGAGTATCCCATGGACTCATCTAGCTTCCTGGTCTCGTGCTCCAGCAGCACAGGGTCAAGGGTCGGGTCGCGGGCCACAGAGTGCAACGAGTCACCTGAATGGAGTAAAGACAAATGTTCATAAATCAACTTTGACCCTATTGATAGCAAAATTCTAATGACGAGTGCAGCTTACTCGTGACAGAATTACTTTAAAGGGCAATCCAACCTTTGTGATAAGTTGATTTGAATGAAAGCAAAAATAAGAGAAACAGAATGGTAAAAGATTGAAATGAATCGGACCAATGGTAAGGACTTTATGAATGATTGAAAGAAGAGATCACTAAGTCTACGCGAATCTCAAATTGGTAGTTTCGTCAGTGGATTGTGACGTACATGTAGGACGTGGACGTGGATGCACTAGTAATGTTGAATTCCTTCATGCTCCCTACAGCTTACAATCATCTCCTTTATTCTCCCCTTCTGCTACACTTATCTGCATTCTGTACAGTTAGTGCCAATTCATGGTCTCAAGGTGTTTTTTTCTTCACACACCGAAGGAATCAAGCAGTTTTATATTATCAAATTAAATGGGAAGGAGAGAATTCAGTATTTAATGCATTATATTGGTTCTTAATTTCTTCTTTGCTTGCTTGCCATCCAATACATTCTATTAACACCATGACTACAATTTGATTTTGGTGAGTTATCTCATAATCACAATTCAACAGGCTAAGAAATATGGAATTCTCTTGAAAGGTCCAAATATATTTCTGAACCCAACTAGATATGATGTAATCTGAAAGAAAAACTCATAAAGACATGAATCAGAAACTGGACTTGGTTCTTACTGAGCATATTCCTGAGGTCCTGGATCTCATCATTAGTCTTGGAACTCATGGAGATGTACTGTTGTCTTTTCCTGACCTCATGATGCATCTGATCCTTCAAGGTGGAATTCTAAAGAAGAAGAAAAACAGAGATAATAATAATAATAGTAATAGTGAGTTCTTGTATAGCACTGATGTCTTCAGACTTGACAAAATGTTATAAGCTGTTTTTTCATGGCACCATCACCAAAAGCTGGACTATTCCACTTTGCATTGGGGAGACTTTATCTGTCACATTAGCTCACTTTACCAACAATTTTGGTTACCGGTACATGCTATTTAGATTTCATACCCATAACAAAATGGTATACACTGTTTTATCATAGCACTACCACCAAAAGCTTGACTATTCCACTTTGCATTAGGGTATACTAACCTGCTCTTCAAGTCCTTTGACCCTCTGTCTGTGAGCCCTCTCCCTGGCCTCCAGGGTCCTCTCAGCCTGAAGCTGAGCTGTTCTCAATCTCTCTGTCTCGATCTCTGTCTCTTGTCTGTGTCTTGTCGTCAGCTCAATCAATCTACAAACAAACAAACAAACAAACAAATGAAAATATAAAAGGCTACACATACATGTAAGCTTGATTTAAAGCCCCACTGCACTACTTATAGCTACTTGCGCCCTCTATATAGCAAACAAAGCCTAATCGGTGTCTGTTGGTACCCCATGATCCTCTTTTTCTTATGTTAAATGAGAGCTGATTCGATGAGATAACCGTCTGTCAGCGACCTTGCAGGAAGGTCTAATCCCCCCTGGCCAAACTAGTGCAGACGGTCTTTAAAGGACTACGGGTTCTAAATCTCATAATATTGGTAAGGTACTACAATGTAGACAAGACATGGACACTGGCCTCATTTAAGAATGAACAACACAGGGTTAAACTTTACCCTTACTCTTTTTAGGACACATCTTGTTTCCAAGGGACTGAGGCAGCCATTTCTATTCATCAAGGAGGCAATGTGCTACAAAAAGAATTACCACGTTGTTTGGAAGCGTAGTACATCACATGATTGCTTGCCCTGTCTTTCCAACACCTGAAGCTCAATATCCAATAAGATAGCTTGACATGCATGCTCATATTTTGAATATGGCAACTAAAAAGACAATCGTGACAATTGGTTATCCTTAGGTCTGATAGTCCCATACATACACCAGTACAAACATTCCGACAACTGGATTATTGAAAGATTTGATTGATTAGGTTTGATCGATCAAATTTGAGAAGTATGCTTTGTATCCTAACCTCTGGGCATGTTGCTGCTCTGTCTCAGCCAGAGTAGCCTGTAGGGCCTGGGTCTGTCTCTGAAGCTCAATATTTTCTTGGTCCAGGGAGGTTAGGGACTGGTCTAAGGCTCCTTTCTCCGACGTGGCCCTCATTACGGCCTCCTCATGGCGCATCTTCTCTCGCTCAACCTGAAGTGCAGGAAAAATGGGGAGAGAAATACGATAAGCACTTTTTTCTTGATATGGACAGTCCAATGTAATTTTTATTTCTGTGTCCCGTATGTTACTACGATTCACAGGATTACATTAAGAACTTTATAAACAATGAAACTATTATTTTCATAAGTCTTCTGTCTTCAGGCCTCTGGAACTACCTCCCTCCCATTCTTCGCGACACCGACAAGCTAGAAAGCTTTAAGTCAGGCCTCAAAACCCATCTTTTCAAGCAAATGTGTAGGCCATGACGCCATGCAAGTGCTGTGGATCATCATCATCATCTCAGCTTCGGTAAAACAATCTACTCACCACGATCACAGGGTATACCAAAATGTGATTGCTAACATATGGGACAAAATACCTCAACTAGCCCAATTACAATGAAAACTGTATTTCAGTTTTCATCTGTTTTTGTGAATCATTCCCCTGTCTCAAACTGATAATGAACTGTTGGAATAATTGTTTACTAAAGAGGATTATGAATAATACTTGAATGCTATTCACAAAGTATTCACGATTTAAAGTCACTTGTAAAATATTTTTTACATTTAATTTTTCAGAACAAAATAGATTTGTTCTTTTCAATACAATATGGAAATCGGAGGGAGGAATTTATATGAAATTCATCTTGTACACAAATCACTTTGTAGTTTCCATGCCAGAATGCAGAATGCAATATAAAACTTCAAGCCCTACTGCACTAATTATAGCTACTTGCGCCCTCTATATAGCAAACAATGCCTAATCGGTGACCATTGGTCCCCCATGTTCCCCTTTTTCTTATGTTAATTTAGAGCTGATTAGATGAGATAACCACCTGTCAGTGACCTTGCACGGAGGTCTAATCCATTCTAGGCAAACTAGTGCAGAGGGGCTTTAATCTATATCCCCAGGGCTTACCTTATCCAGGGTTTTCTTGAGAGCAGTCTTATCTTTCTCCAGACGACCCGCACTGCGTTGCACCTCTCTCTTCTCAGTCTCTAGGTTACTGTAGGCCTTCTGCAGTGTGGTGACGTGTTCCTTCAAGGATCGTTTCTCTGCTTGGAATCTCTGGATCTGAGTCATGGTGGTCTCCTCCGATTCCTGGTGCTGCTTCACGAGCTGTGTGGGGACATAGATTAATAATCATAATGAATTAATCGATGATATACTTGCATGAGAATATTCTGGTTGGCAACTATGTTTCCCTGTGAGACTACAACTATTTTTTGGTCCTCTTTGCTTTAACAAGGGCAACATAATTGGGTAGTACAAGAAATGGTTGTAGACGAAACAGCATTTCACCATGATTGCAAATGGTTAAATTTAGGTTTAGGTATAAGTGCTGGACCACCTAGGGTTGAAGTTTTATTAGTGTAGGACACTAGCGGCTGAGCAATGGTCAACAGAGCATGTGGAGTAACACCTAGAAGACTTCAAAGGAAAATATAATGTATAACATCGTCTGTTTGGAAGCCAAGAGGGCATGAACTCATATACTTTGTTACCACAGATGTTAATGCCCTCATCACATTGTTATATCACACCAGGAGCAACTAAGACCTATGGCCCCAGAGCAATGGCATGTGGAAATCCAAAACTTTGGAATGGTCTCCCAGTATTACTACGCCTCTTTACAGACGTTGATCTTTTTGATTGATAAGTGTCACTATTGGTTGTAAATAAATTGCACTTTGTAAAGTGCATTGTGAGGGCCTACGGTCCTGAAATGCACTGTAGAAGAACTTAATATTATAATTAACCACTGACCTGTTGTGAAGACCTGACTTGTTGCTCCAGCTCTGCCCTCCTCAGCTCACACTCGGCTAGATCGTTCTGTCCCTGCTGAACTCTCTCTATCAATTGATGGTTCTGCTTCTTGGCATCACTAGCACCATGTCTGTGATTAAAGAAATACACATTGAGCAATATACCATTTACGCAAACTTATGCATATATGCCTTTGTGATGCGCCTCAATAAGAATTCAAATTGTTGCTAGGTAGGACAAACATTATGGCTTGCTCAACCTAACAACATGTAATATATGCACTTTGCATTCTAACAATGGAAATACAAATATACTTAACAGGTGAATTAAATATCGAGTATAAATTTGGTTACATTACGAAATGGACGGATGAACGACCCAAAAAGATAATGCCTCCGGCACCACCCTTGGTGGGCGGAGGCATTAAAACAAAACATTATGCTTATGTATTCAAATGTATTCCATTAGGATCATGTAAAATCAGAAGAAGCTTATCTCTTTCCCCAAGAGATTTTTTTATTAGATTCATGATAGTTTCCTTTCAAACTCGAGGGCATTATTTCAATAGTTCTTAAAATAAAGTTACATATCTTCAGAAGAGGAAGGTGCCAACTATCCACTTGTCCAACTTCAATTCATTTAAGCCCCACTGTACTACTTGTAGGTACTTGTGCCCTCTATATAGCAAACAATGGCTAATTGGTGCCTGTTGGTCCCCCATGATCCCCCTTTTTTTAAATGTTAATTGAGAGCTGATTTAATGAGATAACCACCTGTCAGTGACCTTGCAAGGAGGTCTAATCCCCCTGGCCAAACTAGTACAGACAGGCTTTAATAATGCATAAATCACTTTTAAAAAATAGCAATTTAGTGATGTAGTATTACCTGGCAGCATCCAATCTTTCTTGCAGGACTCTCCTGTCCTTCTCGCTGTTAGCCACAGCCTGTTGTAGGTGATGTAACTGTTCTTGCTTCTGAGTGGATTCCATTGCAGTGTCGTTGAGAGACAGGGATAGAGATTGCAGCTGAAAAGAAATGAAATCAAATGATATGAAATTAATTTGATTAATATGATTTGGAAATTCATTTTTTCACCAGTAAAAGTTTACAGGTCAATGTACAAAAATAAATAATCAAAATCATAGACAGTTACAGTAATGGTAAGATACATTCATAACAGCTTTAGTGACCACCTGTCTACAAAGACCACACTTTTTGTTTCTCTTGAAAATGGTTTCTCATTGAAACATGTACTAAAGGAACCTGCCTACAAAGATCACCTTTTGTGTTTCCCTTGGGCGGTCGCTATAGACAGGTTTGACTGTACATGAAAAATGGCTTTCGGGACATTTTGAAGTTTATGAGAAGGATGGGTACAACTGAACAATTCTCACCTGATCCTTGAGAGTGTGTTCTCCTTCCTCGGACCTGGCCAGGGAGCTGGACAATCGGTCAACGGTCAACTGCAACGAGGTGTTCTTACTCTCCAGGTCCTGGATCTGTCTCATCAGGGCCTCGATCCTATCCTGCAGGACTTGGCTCTCCGTCTCCTTGTCGTTCATTGACAGGTGGGACCGCTGAAGGTCGCCCTCTAGTGCCCGTCGCTTCAGCTCCAGCTGCGTGCAGCGGTTCTCCGATGCCTCGAGGGTCTCGCGGAGAGATCGCTTGTCTCCCTCCATCCTCTGTGAGCCCTGGTTCATCTTGGCAATGCGGTCGCTCTGGTTACGCTTCTCGGCCTCGGCCGACTGGAGTGAACGCTCCAAGGTGTTGATTTTTTCCTGAAGATTGAATAAATTTGTTCAGTTATTCCTTGCTCATATATTATTTGGTGATGATTTTGCCAATTCACTAGCAACATCACCTTGTAGACAACAACTTCCTGTAATTCTAAGACTTTCTAAGGCTGATGACCACTTACAAATTATTAACAACATAAAGGAGTATAAAATATTTTTTTCCAGGACAGTGCATGTGATTAAAGTCTTAAATCTATAAAAAAAAAAATTGAAGCCACTCTGACAGCCCCAGAATTCACAAGTGTCCAAAACCATGTAATTTCCAATACGTATGAAATGAGACATTGTAAAATACATTTCCAAAATTAGTCTTTACATTTTATCACCACACACCATATTGATTATATGGACAAACATATTTTTCCTCCCATCTTCAGCCACTGATTTAACCGAGAAAGATATATCAAAATCGAAATGGCTGTTTAGAATTGTTCCTTTATAGAGCACATTATGACTAGAAAACAACTCCTGTAAGTACTGCTGTAATTTAAGCCTTTGTCTTTTTAAAAGCTTTTGATTACCGACTCCCAAGGCTGATGACCACTTACTAATGATTCTCTCTTTTAGATTTCAGACTTTAATCACATGCACTGTCCTGGAAGAATCTAGGGGGGAGGAGTAGGGGTAGAAGGAGGATTCTGTGGATGAGTAGCTCAAGGAGTGGGATTTCTGAAAGTGGAATTGATCTCAGGGAGAATGAATTACTTCATAAAATATGGGACAGAGAGTTGTGGCATTCGATGGTCGCCAACGTCTCAGAACATGGCACGTAAAGATAGATCACTAGAAACCTTACCTGCATGCCTTTACGGTCCCTCTCGCTTCGACGGATTGTCTCCTCCTGAAGCATGAGGGCAGTCTGCGCGCTGCTGAGACGTCCATCAGCGCCGCGCTTGCCCTCCTCCGCCTCGGTCAGGGACTTCTGGAACTGCTGCAGGCGTTGGTCGACACGGTGCCTGGCTGCCTCGTTCTCAGCAAGCTCTTGGGTGATCAGGCGAATACGACAGAAGGCTTCATCCTGAAATGGCAATGATTTAAGTTATATGTGTGTATGATAAAACCAGCTTCAGAAACCATCTATACAGAATGACCAACTTGAAGATTTCACATTGAACATGCATAAAAGAATCCTGTCAAGAAGAAAAAAAGAAGACAATGTATCTCTAAAGACCACTTTTCTTGTATGCCAGGGAATGAATTTGGTGCAAAAATGTGTGTAAACGATCCCATGACTTACTGCTTTTATTCAAGTTCAAAATGGAATCTCACAAATAAAGTTACCCCAGCAACTTTTAATGGACCAGTTTAACTGATCTATTTTTATTTGAAACAAGATAACATGAGAATAATTTTTTTTTCTCTTGAAGACCTGAAACATTGCCCCAACATATCTGACATGTTAGCAACTGATTTAAAGAAAGTAGATTCCATCCATACAAACAGTTTGTCACTTTAGACTTATTGAGAAAAACGAGGCGAAAAAACAACTCTTCTTTTAACCTCAAGATCAGACAATATATTGATTCCAAAAGGTTTTAGAGGCATCGTTTAACAATGTTGAATCTCAGATGCACGGCCCTACGTGTTGAATGTGTTATCAGTGTCTGTGATATGGTGTAGTATTGAAGCCCTAAAAATATTGCGCTACAAAGTGACCAAGAAAAGCCTCAAAAAAGTAAAAATCTTTGAGTGACTGGTTTTACCATACTCGTATTCCCCAGAAAACTGCAGTGTTATGAAAACGCAAAATTTGATTTCAATTTCTAATCATAAATATATTGATAATCAGATAGGCAATCGGCTTGTAAATATCATGGGGTTCCTGACTGACCTAAAGGCTTATAATTATCATTGCAGCCTGAACTAATTCCAGGATTTTGTTTCAGAATCTGAGACAAAGTTACCCAATCCCTTTAAAGGAACTCACCCTTTCTCTCTCTGTATCCTTGAGCTGCTGGGAGAAGTCTTTGAGGGCGATCCTGACGGTCTCAGGGTCGATATCAGCCACGAGCTGCTCCATACGGGTGGGGGAGGTACTGCGGGTCGGGAGGGGGCTGGCGGACCGGTCCTGTAGCTCAGGGGACCCGGTACGGGGGATGGGGGTGCCAAAGCCATCGGCAGTGGAGGCGAAGGTGTTGTCAAAACCTGAAAATTGATCGGTTAAGAGTGTTTCTTTTACTGGAGGGTAAGAATGTGTTGGTACAGAGTGCCCGGAGCTACATGTACATGTACAGGGATAGTAAATGATGTACAATGTATAGATTAAAGAGAGAACACAACTTAAAATATAAATTAGATGTTAGACTGTCCTATGACAGGAGACCTGGTCCTACGTGCTCGTACCGGACTAGGACTCCTATCCCTAAGAGACGCCCTTGGCCCTGGTGAAGTACTACTAGCTGGACTCATTAACAAATATCTTAAGAACTACAATTTGAGGTAGGACTCACCTTTGACAGGAGACCTGGTCCTACGTGCTCGTACCGGACTAGGACTCCTATCCCTCAGCGAAGATCTTGGTCCTGGTGAAGTGCTACTAGCTAGACTGAGTGAGCTACCCATTCCACCAGCTCCGATGCCTAGGGTTCGACGTAGGGTGGAATGCAGGCTCCCTAGCTTGAACTCCACCTCCTGCTTCGCTCCTAGATGAGAAAGAGAAACAGAAAAAAAATTATGGTAAATCTCTGTCTATAAGACGCACCCCTATATTCAAGACAAAAAACAAACAAAAAATTATCTTCCCTTCAAATAAGGAACGTAGGTTAACTTCAAATAGTAGATTCTATTCTTTATTCGCATTATGTAATCTATGTTGTGACACAGAGATTTTCGAAAACCACTAAGAGGACTCAAAATATCCTGTACCTGTCTAAAAGACGCACCCCCGACTTTCAAATTTTTACGGTGGAAAAAAGTGCGTCTTATACACAAAGATTTACGGTAAAGGTCACTGGATCTTGACTCTGCTATTAAAGATGGGTCGGGAAGAAAAAGACATAATTATTGGTAATATTGGTGTATTCAAAAGTGCCACTTGCCGTATCTGGTTGACAATTTGATATCAATTAGCATAGATCAATGAACTAAGTATAAATTGTTGTACCAATATGTGATAAAATTATTATTTCAACAATTATGGATTTTATGTGAAAGATGCAGCGTTATATACCTACCACTACGCTAAATTAACTAAATTTTTCAGTCTGCTAAAGTTGATATCATACAAGATTATATCAACTACTTTCATGCAAAAAGGCAAGAAATATGCGCGGTAATGTTACAGTGCCATTACTTTAAAAATGGTGAAAACATTGGAAAGAAAGGAGGGGATGAAGAGCTACTGGATGAATAATGAAATGAAATAATTGTTTTACTTGCACCATTTTAATTGCACCATGCACCTGGCTCTTGTAAGCACACACACACTCATCAGTATGCAAGAATCTTCAACTGTGAAGGAGGTAGACTTAACCCAAAGAAGAAGAAGAAGAAGAGGATAAAAAGTTAAAAGATGTACCTTCAACTTGAGCCAACTGGGATTCCAGACCATTGACCCTTCCCTCTGCAGCACTCAGCTTCAGCTTCAGGTCTCCTAGATCTGCTTTGGTCTCGTCCAGCGCGTTCTCCGTGGTGCGTAGCCTCTCTGAGATGCGTCTCTCGGCCGAGCGGGCCTCGTCGACGGACATTGCGTAATCCTTCTCCTTCAGACGGAGTTCCTCCTCCAGGTCGCCAAAGCGACGGGTGAGGTTCTGAGCGTCCTTCCTGGCGGACTCCCGCTCTGCCTCTGTCTCCATCACCTGAATCATGAGAAAAGTAAGGATAGAGGGTGAAACTCAATCAAACAACTGCTCTTTGTTTTCTACCACTGGACCCTGGCCTTCTTACAAAGAGTTACGATTGATCTGAATCAATCCCAAGTCCTCCAATCAATTGCAAGTTTGCAATCTCCTATCTCTTATGTACATAATTGTGATTGATATCTAGCGTATATCAATCACAATTATGTACATAAGAGATAGGAGATTGCAAACTATCATTACCTTTCTAGGAGGAAATACGTACATATTTGTAATAGAATAGACAGGTGCTCTCGAAACACCTGTCTATTCTATTACAAATATGTACGTATTTCCTCCTAGAAAGGTAATGATAACAATAATAGATATAATAACAACAAATTCTGCTTTCAGCGGCGGACAATTTAAAACTGTCGCTTTGGATATCATGATAAGGAAATTTAGAGAATATTTAAGCTAGCAAATCAAAGGACACCTATCAGACACAATGCTGCATGAGTGAGTAATATGTGTTTCAATTTACTTTACTGAAAATTATTCAGATAAAACAGAGGACCTCTGGTTGATGATCATCTAGCCTACATTCATGCCAGGGGAACAAAAATACAAACCAGTAAATTGAAAGTTCCTTTAAAATATAGAGATGTGTAATGACACTTTAATGATCTTTCGATACACAATGTATCTTCTTTTCTCTTTCTCCAAGCTCTCTATCCTCCTCTCCTCTTTGCTTATCCCTTTCTTCTATTTATAATGAATATTATGTATTTGTGTAGTCGGGCGTACCCATTACAAGCTATAAATTGTATTGTTTGAACAGATGTCAAATATGTTGTAAAATTGAATGGAATCACTTTTAACATCAGTAAATACCCAACATTCTTTGTTATTTTACCTTTTGTTTGAGGGCATAGATCTCCTTCCTATTCTCCTCCTCTTTTTCGTCGTCCCTGGCGACACGGTTCTGAAGGTCATGGATGTCCTTGGTCAGCTTGGCTTTATCCGTGTCAAGGGTCTTGACCTGATTGGAGGAAACAAATGTGATGTCATCAGTGAAGATAATATGCAAAAAGCTAAATTACAGGTACATTAAATCAGAAATCTCACCATAAATTATTCCCCTTGGTGCCAATACCAAACAAGTACATTTCAAGCAAAATATTAAAAAAGAATACCAAGGGAAAACTCTCTTTGCAAAAGGAACTGGCAAGGGAAATTAGTATATGTTTAAGCATACTGTCTTCCTGTAAAATTGCTTTGATCCTCCAGATTTATCCTCTCAGATGGTTCAAGGCCAAATTTTATACAAATTAATTCTAAGGGTTAACAAATTTTCTAGCTCAGAAGCCTGTATTTAATGTCAGGGATGATCCTTGGCTAGAATGTGTAGCATGAAGTGGAGTGGGACTTTCGCTCATTTTCTAACTACTACTTGAGCAAACTAAGTGCAGAAAAACATTTATCTTGGAAAAATACTCATGAGTACACAAGAAAAGGATATCTAAAAGGGAGCAGTTGCTTTATGGCCATCATCATGTTACAATAATTACCTGTCTCCTGAGCTCCTGGAGTTCTCGTCTGGCCTCCAGACGAGACTTTTCCACCTCCCTCAGACTGGCTCGAAGGTCTCCAGCCTCCTTCTGTATAGCTGTCTTACTCTCTTCCAAAACTGTGAGACAAAATAATAACCGAATTTAACGATATATCAACAAAGTAAATCGGTAAACAAAGTTGTGTTATCACATTCATCAAAGTCATTATTACCACCACCACACCTCTCTTATCATCCACATCAATATCATTATCATTTCTACCATAATCATCATCACCACTATCATTGTCATCATCATCATCATCATCCCCATTATTATTACCACCACCACAACCATCACAATTACCAACATCATCATCATTGTTATTGTTACTGCTGCCACCCCTCCATAACCGTACTATCCACTATCACTATCATCATCATCATGCAAGATTCAAGACAATTAATGTAAAAATATATAATTTTTTTTCTTCAGACTTTGAAGGTGCATGTAAATAAATTCATACAAAATAATTACATATTAAACATACCATTTAACAATCATCAATCATCACAATTTTAAGTATTTTGCATTAAAATAATAAGATTATACCGAGGGAGGCAGTGCAATTAAAAACTTGTTTTGAGCTTGTCCATCCGTCATCATCCTCATCCCTCCTCTCCCTACTCACCAGCAATCTTCTGTGTCCTCTCCTCCACATTCCTGTTTAGTTGGATGCGATCCGTCTCCACCTTCTTGACCTTCTGTCTCAGTTCTTCGTTTGCTCGGTTGATCGCGTCCTTCTCACGGACCTCATCGTTCATCTGTCGTTTCAGCTCCATGTTCTCTTTGCGCTGGATCTCACGACCTTCATCACCTGCAGGTAAAGTATTAGAGTTGTACTAAAATGCTAATCTCAATAGTAGGTAAATTTATTCTGATGGTTCAGCTCCATCTACTGTATCATCAAGGGATGAATAGCTTCAGGAAGGTGAAAAACTATAAATAAAACCTCAAATTGGCAGCATATAGGTAGAGCTTTCACTTTTAAATTCAGTTCTAAAATAACACATCTACATTGCAACTATGAGAATGCATTACATCATAATCCAGCTACAGAGAATTTTGTTTGTCCTTGGAAACAAAAAACCTCATAATTTTTGTTGCCAATTTGACATGCTTATAGAATATTTGTATATACCTTCTCTGATCTTTTCTCACCAAATTGGCAGCATACAGGTAGTGCTTTTACTTTTACATTCGGTTCTAAAATTACAAATATGAGAATGCATTACATCATTATTCAGCTAATTCAAAAGAAAAGTAAATTCAGATTAAGTGTTGCCAATTTGACGTGCTAATAGAATATTTGTCTGTACCTTCTCTGATCTTGCGATGCGCCTCGATGAGCTCTCTCCTGACCCCATCCCTGCTCTCTTCGGCCATCTTGAGTTGTGTTTTAAGTTCGTTGACCTCCCTCAGCAGGGCCTCCTTGACCTTCTGAAGGTCCTTGATCTGGTTGCTGAGATCCTTGGCCTGGCGCTCTCGAACATTCCTATCAAGAAACGTGGATTTAATTTAAAGATACTATGTCCCTTTTGCAGCCAACATCAAACTCTGTAGAAATTTGCAAGAATATGTCATGTATGTCCTATGTGTATGTGAAATTTAAACATTAGCAGTGTCCTAGTATTCAAATTATGCAAGGAAACCCATTTACTTGATAGACTTTACTGTCAAACACTGTTGGGTGAATGACCGACATCTTTTTTCTTTTGTAATAACATACATAAAATGAGCTGTAGCAGGTAGGCCTACACGAGCATTTGTCTACATCAATAACCCACTACTTGTGATGGCCAAAATTAAACTGATTGAATCTTCGTGCAGCACAAAACCTAGGACCATTCGGTAAAAGGGTCTGAAATCAGACTATTACTTAGGTGATTGCAATCGATTCGACAACTAATGGTTTTTATTTTCCCACTAAAAGCCATTTCAAACCCTTTCGTTTGGAGGGAAGTCCTAAATTAGTATTGTTTTTCAATTGCCGTTGGAATTTCACCTTTTCTTTTTTGGGGCCTGCAAATGGGACATAGTACCTTTAATACATTTATTAATACTTTGCCATTATTTTCATGACAATCAATCTTTTTTCTTTCTCCCTACTGTCTGTTTGGAGCCAGAAGGACTTAGTGAACGCTTATCATTTTAAACTGAGTTAATGCCCTTCTGCCTTTAAACATGATATACAGATCTGACATTTTTAATCGTAAATATATGTAAATATTGTCACAATTCAGTATCATGCCATGATAGAAATGAATAAATCCATTGAATTGAATTGAAATATAATAAGCTGCCTGTGTTGATATTTTGTTTTCCTTTCTTTTCTTTTTTGTCATCTAGAGTATGGTATCCATTGGGTTACGACTAATTTTATTTCCACTAACGATGTCCGTCTGCACTAGTTTGGCCAGGAGGGATTAGACCACCCAGCGTGGTCACTGACAGGTGGTTATCTCATCAACTCAGCTATCAATTAACATAAGAAAAAGAGGATCATGGGGCACCGCTTAGGCATTGTTTTCTATATGGAAGGGAGCAGGTAGCAACAAGTAGTGCAGTGGGGCTTTAAAGCCTAGATATAGTTGATTTATCACTTACGTTCCCTCTTCAAATCTTGCTCGTAGTTCTTTCAGCTCGTCCTGTACGTCTCTGATAGCTTCCTGTACAAGATCAAACAAAAAACTTAAATTAAGAAAATTACATAACATACTCAAACGATACCAGTCTGAGTATTTTTTCTCTTAATAAAGATAAATATGATTAACACTTCCATATGGATAACTAAATTGATATCACTTTTTAATTTTTTTTTTATCAGTAAATCTAAGGATTGGATAGATGGGTCAAGGAGTCACCAAGATACAATTATTTTTTTAACAACTGTCTACATGCATCTCAAAAGTGAGTTTCATCAAGTCTTTACCAATCAATACCAAAGGTATGAAATTGTATTGATCCTGTGAAGTACATGCAAACATCTTTTTCACTAAATAATCATAACACGACTGAATTCATTTCTGTTCAAATGATGGTCAACTCTGACTGACATGAGCGCTATACAAGAACCCACTATTATTATTATTATACTACAATCAGACACCATGACATTTTGGGAAACTTGTAAATCTCTAAAGGGTGAGAACCAACAGACTTTACCTCTAAATGAAAGTCTGGTCATTTGCTATCCAATACCATACATGCCAACATTTGAAAATCAGAAATCTGTACAAATTATGCTATTTAAAAAAAAAAGAGGAACAATCCTAACTCTCCTATTCAATACTACAGACAAATTTGTACAGGAAGAGGAACACCTGCATTAAAATGATAATTATCTTCTCCCAAAAAGAGGAATGTTCCTCTTTAATCTGAACAGTTGGCATGTATGCAATACAAATAATGAGCAAAGGTAGAGTATGAAGATATCTCATATCGAGGGTTCAGTGACACAAAGACGTACATTAACTCCATATTTTGCCAAAATGAGTATTTGATATCAAATGTTCAGAAAAATGTGGGCTTTCCAGGAAACACAAAGACTTAACTCCACCCAACACCCCATTGAAGTCAAAAGCTAGTGAAACATAGACCTAACTCCTTAAGGCCCAAGTGGACCTCTATCTTTCTACCACTTTTTCTTAAAATGGCCAAAATGGAGTTACATCTTTGTGTCACTGACCCCTCAACATTACCTTGTCTGTCTCAGCTCGAGTGAACGCCTCTCTCTTGATCCGATCCATCTCCATGGAAGCATTAGCCATATCCCTCTGAGATGAGTTCAGCTTCTCAACCAGCTGGTTCCTCTCAGTCTGGGCCAAAGACAGCGACTGCATACAAAACAACAATAATAATGGTAATAATTAAACGTTTTTGTACAGCACATAACACAAGTCTGAATGCGCTTTACAGAATAGAATACAGAAGGAGTGGAAATGGTGCACTAGGTTCATAATTGTGACATCTTAAAATAAAATAAAAAATACAAAGTGATGACTAGATATGTTTACAAAACAGATAAAGATATTAAAATCATTGAAAATACATTTTTCTTTCTGAAGATATGATTGGTACTTAAAAATAATAAAAAATAGCAATGGATTACGACATACTGAAGCTTTTTATCTGCACCAATCAGAGTAAACCGCAAGATTGAACTTTAACCCAAATCAGACAATACATACAGAGACTAAAGAACACAAAACACATTCATCTTCTGTCTCTTCCTCCCTTTCCATCTCTTCTCATTTACCATCTAGGAATTCTCTCATTAAAGTTGTATTATCATCAGAAGCAAAAGTTCTCAACATCTATCATCTACCTGTTGCTTGTCATTCTCCGCCAAAACAGTTCAAACACCCTCGGCTATCAACTCGGGCATGTTAGACTGTTCCAAAGGTAATTTGTGTGGGTAATTCTTACTAATGCCTTTACTGCTGTGTATTATTGTATAATCATTAGAAGAAGGAAAAGTTCTCATCATCTATCTACCTGTTGCTTGTCATTCTCCGCCAGGAGCAAGCTCTCGTCCCTCTCCCTCTGGAGCCCCATCAGATCCTCTGTCAGCTCCTCCTTCTCCTGCATGTATCTACCGTTCAGCTCCTCTCGCTCCTGGTTCGTCTTCCTCACCAGGTCCTCTTTCTCTGCCTCCATTGCTAGCTTCAAGCTCTCCTGCAGATGTGGAAGATAACGTGGACATTTAATTGAAATGTAGAAAGATTAATTGAGTCCCCAACTTAGAAACCTTCACAAGTAAACTTATCTGTTCAATATGTAATGTATCTGTTCAATATGTAATGTATCTGTTCAATATGTAATGTAATTCTGTATTGGTTGTTAATTTATAAAGCACTATGTAAAGATTCATTATTATTATTATTATTATAGTATTAATGACTGCTTTGAGAGAAATAGTTGTTTTATTACGCTCAAGGGAAGGTTAGAATTGTGCTATTCCCCGAGGCTTGCCGAGGGGAATAGCCCAATTGTAACCTTCCCGAGAGCGTATGAAAACAACTATTTCTCGAATATTAAAGCAGTCATTAATACTTTTATATGCCAAAAAAAAATAGACTAAAAAATAAAAAATAAAAAATACTTTTTTTTTTGGTCGAAGATGAGATTCGAACTCTTGCGTACAAAAGGTGATGTATCTAAAGTCAGCGCCTCAGACCTCTCGGCCATCGCGCGTTGTTAACATGTAAGGCAGTTTTGTACAATATATACATTAAAATGGATTGAAACCGGCTTCGCGTGTGATGAATGCTTCGCAAAAGCTCCATATACGGACTCTTCTTTTACTTTTGCAATGCATATTGGCACGAACTTAGATCAAGATCTATCGGCAGATGTTGTTTTTTTGTTTTTGGAAGTTTATTTTCGTCTTCATGTCAACAATGCAAGATAAAATTGTCGGTAAGATCGATCGAGATTCAATTGTATTGAAATTACCGACCAATCCTTCGCACACATACGGCATCCTCCATCGCTCAAACCATTTTTTAACATGTAAACCTATGGGGTAACCATGGAGGCTGACCAACTTTTTTTAATAACCATGGTTATTAAAAATATTGAAATGTTTTATGCATGGTTACCGAGAATTTTACAGGAACAGTTGAAGTTTATGAATGCAATTCGACCAATCAGATGGCTGGATTTCTTAAGTGAGGTATATAATATTTCATAATTGCTATTTCAATTCAAATTAGGTTTTATTCAATCTCGTCAAAAATTTAAAGACTAAAAATGCGAGTTAACATCATACATACATTGGGAAAATTATTATTAGAATTATATATTACGTATATATTGTTGTAAATTAACATTACTTTGTGATTTTGTTAAGCACTTAGAAACTTTGTATTAAATGCTTTATGAAACTGATAACGAGTTAGGCCATGCTTCTCAGATTTAACATTGTTAAACGATGCCTTTAAGCAAGTATAAAAATGAGCACATTTACTCACCCTTTCCCTGTTGAGTCTCTCCACGTCTTCATCGTGAGCCTGTTGACGTTGTTTGAGAGCGAGCTGGGTGTCCCTCTCCTGCTGCACCATCCTCTGGTTGAGAAGCTCAAGATCCTTCTGGTATCGGGTCATCTCGATCTCCATCTCCTTACGCTGCCTTGCAAGCTCAACTGGTCATGGGACGAGGAACAGAGATAAAAATATGGCATTGAATTGAATTGAAAATGGTTTATCAAAAATTATATATAGCAACCCAAAAGCTGAATTGCATATCGATTCACGATAAAATAACAGTTAAAACGCATTTGAGTTTACAAAAAAATACATTAATCTTAACAATTTGAAAAAGTAACATAGTTCAAGTCATGAATGTATGATGAATCACCCTAGGGATATTGTTATGCAAAGAGAGAGAACGATGAGTACATGAGAGAAAGGGAAAGAGAGAGAGAGAGAAAAAAAACAAAGATAAAAAGAAAGGGGGTGGGAAAGATGTGGAAACGTAGGCAAAGAAGGGAGAAAAGCAGAAAGAGAATGGGGAAAAGAAAAAGGGAGAGAAAGAGGACAAGGGGGGAGAAATAGAGAGAAAGACAGATAGAGGGGCAGATTCAAATAGATTCCAGATGAGAATGAAAAAGAGAACAAGAGAGTTGAAATATATCGTAAATGAGATCAATGGCATACTGCACTTCCAGTATCTAGTTCTGAATTTCATTGTAAAGAACTGGGCCCTGTTCCATAAAAATTGTTACGATTAAAGAGATACAAATTGCCAAATTTGATGTACACGAGCCTCTGCTTCATAAAATGTCATGTGGCAAATTATGGGGTAAGGGACTTACCTGTGACTCCTTCTTTTGAGACGCCCTGTTCTTGAAGCTCGCTTTCCAGTTGTGTCCTCTTTGCTTCAAGCTTGGCCAGACTCTGCTGATACTCATACAGCGTCCTCTCAAGGCTTTCCTTGTCTGTGTTCATTGCAGCTATCACCTACATATCAACATCAAAGAGATTAAGAAACGGTCAATGTACATGCTGCAATTTTTTTCCTCTTCCTCACTCTTTACTCTCCTGAGTTCTTAAACTTTTCTCTAAATGTTCCCTTCTTTCTCTTTCGTAATTTCCTCTCATGATATGTACGCCTTTTCTCCCCTCTCCTCTCCTTTTCTCGCTGGATATCACTTTTTTTTCCCTCCATTTTTTTCAAAAATATTATTGAAAATTTAACAATGACTACCACTTTCTTTTTCTATTTTATTATCTTATCCCAAACGAATACCTTTCTGTTGCAAAGAGAAAATGTTCTGAAAAGGCTAATCCTAAAGAAGGTGCATGAATGGTAGCTACCGGTACCTAAGATAAATCTACCACTGAACACCATACTTTTCCTCTCTCTCAGTGACTATTACTCTACATTTTTCTTCAACAAGAAGAGCTAAGATTCAAACCTCCTAATCCCATCTTTTGAAACCAATAAACTGGCTTTCAAACTTTAACTTCTAACAAATTTTGACTGATGCATCCAGTGCCACCTTAGTGTGAAATGGGCTAATGTAATGTAGTTTGCTCACCATTGTGAGCGTCTGTAAAATGGCGCCCGGCTGAAATGCTCCCCAGGGAGTGGAGAATATGCATATATTGTGTGCGAGCTAGTCTGAATCGGATGACCGGGGTAATGATATATCTGTTAAGCGCTTAGAGACATCATTGATGTATTAAGCGCTTTATAAACACAGGATATTATCATTATTGTTGTTACTAAAGAGGATCTAACAATTTTGAATCCAACTTCTTTAACTTCTCTGGGTTGTTTCTCACCTCAGCCTGGGCTCTGTTCTCTCTCTCCGACGCAGTGAGCTGAACGATCAACTCTGCCTTCTCCTTCGTCAGCTCCTCCTTCTCCTTGGCGATGCGAGTGACTGCTTCTATCTGTCTCTCGACATCTCTCCTCGTCTGCAGTAGCTCTTCGGCTAAGGAGTTCTTCTGTCTGGACAGCTGTTGGATCAAGGAGACATATGATATGTAAACTGTTGGTGTGTGTCTTTTAAGTAGTGGAGAGATAGGAGACTGCAAACTTACGACTGAGTGGAGGACTTACGATAGATTTGGATCAATCGTAAGTCTTTGTAAGACGGGCCCAGGTTAGAGTAAGGAAATAATGTAGGAAATTAACAACAAGCAGTTTGTTTGCAGTAGCTCCTCCACTATGAAGATTTTCTGTCTAGACAGCTGTTGGGCAAGGGTCAGGCAACCTTTGCTCAAATTAGGATGAAGATTTCAATAGGTTTTAGGTTATAAAAGTAAAATACTCATATTTCTGACATAAGTATTGACTTGAATACTGGAATACAGATTCAGACATATCTCGTCATGCTACACCCCCTGTAGTCCTACCAAGTCCTTACCTGTGAGAGGTTATCCCCAAGCTCTCCTTTCTCTCTGTTGAGTAGACTCATCTCCTCCTCCAGCCTGGTCCTGTTGTCTTCCATCAGACTCAGACTCTGATTAAGACCCATCTTCTCCGTCTCCGTATCCACCTTCTCGCTCTCGACCCTCATCAGCTCGTCGCGGATTGCCGCCCTCTCGTGGTGAATGTTATCTTTGTCTTCAATCAAGCGGTTCTTCTCGGCTTCAAGCTGCGTGAAAATAATAAGGATTGGGATATATTTAGTATGAGAGTGACAGTAAAATTCCTTGTTAGAGAACATAATCATCAACTCTAACCAACTTGATCAATCTGTCATTCAATAAAAACAAAAGAAATATGAACACTTTTTCAAATAAAACATCTAGTTACCCAAACAGTGTTTTTCATATGTTTGAAGGCATCAGGCTTTGCAGAATTCATGCTATTTTCATGGTTCCTTTTATCCTTTTATGTTATAGCATAAAATTGTTTATACCTGTTATTGTTATTTTTAATGTTTATAATTGAAAACAAGAAAATCAATTTCAAGTTCATATGAATTTTCTATGAAGCTTGGATCCATACTAAGTTTATGTCAATGGTTTACCACATCATGTATGCACAAAGAATTGTCGTTTGGTCTAAACACAGATCATCTACTACCCAATTAGTCTATTCCCATATGGTCTACACCCAGCCAGTCTACTATCCACTTGGTCTAATAATATTAGTAGTAAGAAACTAACCTGCATGATAATCTTGTTGAGTTCAATCTTATCCTGCCCGAGGCCTTCGTTGAGTGCCTGCATCTTGAGAAGGGAATCTCGGAGACCGGCCTCCTCGGTTCTGAGACGATTCAACTCCACCTCAAGCTCTGCCCTCTGGACCTCAAGACGGGCGAGGCTCTCACCTGGAAACGACAAAATAAAGAGACGATTAGTACTACAAGATCAAAGAATGATGGACACCAGAAACTCCTGCACCATAACCTTCTGTAAATCGTCAACAACAGCCATTTTCACAGCTAGAAACAATCACAAAATGCAAAATTTCAGTGTTTTGTTTGCTGTGATTCATTCTATTCACTGCACACAACTTTCGTGAATCAGACAGGTATGTCTTTATTTGAGAATGTATTAGCAGCAAAATTGTGAGTGATTATGTGCCCAAGCAAAGCTCATGTAGTTGATGCAGGAGGTCCCAGTCATATAGATTTATTAAATGTTGCATGAATTCAGAGATCTTCAGCGGAACATTATTATCAGAGTACAACTTACAACAAAGAGATATTGCACATGGCAAATTGTACTAGTAGGATTAGTTAAGGAGAGAAAAATCAAATACTTTAATCATGTTAAAAGGCACCAAAGCCTCTTAAAGGATATATTTGAAGGAAGAGTGGAAGGAAGTAGACCGAGAGGGAGACCCAGAATCAACTGGGAAGAGAATGTCAAGGGCTGGGGTGGACTAAAACTGCAAGAGTGCACCAGAATGGCAGAAGTGGAGTGAAATGGAGAGATGTTGCAATCAACCTCCAAACCAGGACAAGATACTTGGATAGATAGACAACTTACTAATTTCTGCCTTCTCTTGCTCCAGTACATCTTTCTCGAGGACAGCCTTGTTGAGAGCTTCTTTCAAGGTGACTATATCCTCCTTCAGATTGGAGTTCTTCCCTTCCATCTGCTCTAGAAGCTTGTGACTAAATGGAAGAAAAACATGATAAGAGGTCTTGTTTTTTAACACTATATAAATATTAAATACATAAGTAATAATGATGATACAGTCAAACCTGCATAAGAGACCACCTGTCTACAATGACCACATGTTGTGTTTCCCTTGAAAATGGTTTCTCATTGAAACATGAACCAAAGGAACCTGTCTACACAGACCACTTTTTGTGTTTCCCTTGGGCGGTCCCCATAGACAGGTTTGACTGTATTTGCTCTTTCATCATCCCATCCATCTTTCCTCTTATCCTCCATCTCATTCTATTACCCCCCCCCCCCCCAACCCTAATCTCAAATTTAAACTTCTTTCAACCTCCTTCTCTATCCTCATCTCCTTCCATTACCTTTTTTAACTCTTTTTCTATCCTACTGCTATTCTTCTTTTTCCTCCCTCTCCTCTTCTCACTAAACATCCTCTCATCCTCCTATCCTCATATCTGTTCTTCTGTCTGATGCTATATTTCTCCATATCTCCCCTCTAGTCTCTCGCTTTCTTTTTCTCATCTTATTCAATCTTATTTATTCAGTTCATATTACAATCATTACCTTATTGAATCTTCTTTTTCTGCTTAATGGTATCCTTCTCTCTATCCTCCCCCTCTCCTCGACCCTCCCTTTATAAGCTCACATCCATTCTTACCTTCTCTCAATCTCCTTCTTCTGTCTGATACTATCCTTCTCTCTATCCTCCCTCTCATCTTCCAGATGATCCCTCTGTCTCTGCAGGTCTGAGTTGGCTGCCTGGAGTCTCTCATTCTCTACGTTCAGAGACTCAATCTGAGCATTCAGAGACTGACGTAGGTTCTCCAGACCAGATTTCTCACTGAAAACATAAAATGGTATTAACTGTCATCTAATCATCAGCTGAAAATGAGCCTTGAATATTATGTATTGAAAAAGACAGTATCGATATTTAACATTTTAAAAGTGTTATTTTCTTGGTCTTAAGTAAGATTTCCCTCTCCAATTGCAAACCATTACACATGAAATGATTTATTTGCTGCGGCAGTTTTTGAGAGCAGTTCATCACATCATGAGTGAATGAGGCTTTAGGCGATCTCAAAGCCTATCTGCATTAGTTTGGCCAGGAGAGATTAGACCTCCCTGCATGGACACTGATAGGTGGTTATCTCATCAGATCATCTGTCAATTAACCTAAGAGAAAGGGGACCATGGGGGACCAATGGTCAACAATTAGGCATTGCTTGCTATATAGAGGGCGCAAGTAGCTATACATGTACAAGTAGTGCAGTGGGGCTTTAAAGGGATCATTCAACAATGTTAAATCTAAGATACACGGCCCTACGTGTTATCAGTGTCTGTGATATGGTGTAATATTGAAGCCATAAAAAACTTGCACTTCAAAATGATCAAGAAGTGCCTCAAAAAAGTAAAAATCTTTGAGTGACCGGTTTTACCATACTCATTTTCCCCAATAGACTGTAGAGTTATGAAAACCGTTTGGCAAATGGTTTTCAAAATTTGTACTTCCAATCATAAATATCTTGATAATCAGACAGGCGATCGGCTTGTAAAAGTCATGGGGTTCCTGACTGACCTAAACGCTTATAATTATGATTGCAGCATGAGCTAAATCCAGAATTTTGTTTAGAATCTGAGACAAAGATATCCAATCCCTTTAATAGACAGGTTTCATGCTTACCTTCCTGTAGCTTCCAGTGAGTTCCTGAGCCTGTCCCTGTCTCTCTTGATCTCTTCCAGCTGCCTCTGAGAGACACTCAGGTTGTCCCGGTGAGCGTCTACTGCCCTCTCTGTCTGCCTCCTCTCGTTCTCGCTGCCTTCAAGGTTCTTCTTCAACGTGCTGGCCTGGTCACGAGTGGAGTTAAGCCTGGCCTTCAATTCCTACATTTCAAAATCAAAAGGAAACACCATACATTAAAGCCTGTCTGTACTAGCTTGGCCAGGAGGGATTAGACCACCCAGCATGGTCACTGAAAGGTGGTTATCTCATCAAATCAGCTCTCAATTAACATAGGAAAAAGAGGATCATGGGGGACCAACGGTCACCGCTTATGAGTTGTTTGCTCTATAGAGTGTGCAAGTAGCTTTAAGTAGTGCAGTGGGGCTTTAATAGACTTTGTTTTAAGGTACTATATCACTTTTAGCATATAAAAGTGAATGGATATGATAGGCAGAGGGAAACTGTTTCTAAGAATGCCCTCTGAATCTAGGAACTAGAAACTGACTGAATCAACAGTAAGATTTAGCATGTAGGAGCCAAATAAAACACTCGTGATTTAAAATTCTGTAACAAAATCATTCTTCCCAACTCTTTCGTCCTCGACAGCCAAAAGAGGTGCTTGTGATCTGTAACAACATCAAAGATTCTCTAACAAAGATAACTGGTTGAATGCATTTTCTTTACTGGAAAGCATTACGGAAAGTTGAAACCACAGCAACTTGTACTACTTGTACTAAAGAGAACTGTTGCTGAGCTAGCGCCATGAGCGTCCCTGGACGGTGCATGCGCTCTATAAGTTAACACTATTATTAATATTAACATGCACTTACCTGAACTTGAAGCTGTCGTTTCTGCAGAGCAGCCTGGACGGCGGAGTAGGTGGAGTCAGGGAAGCCTGGAGAGCGGGCCCTGCTAGGTGAGGCAGTCCGACGGGAGGGGGTAACTGGTCTGCGGGGAGAGGGGGAACGGTGACGGTTGTAACGTGTCGGGGAAAGAGGCCTGTTATTCAGTGATGGCCGTGTTAGTAGGTTGAAAGGTGCATGCATGCATTAATATATTATATGATATATGATATTGATACAAAACAATATTATACAGTAGGTTTACGGTTGCACCATGTGAGAGGGGGGGGGGGGGATTGGGGAACAATATTAATCGGGGATTTTTAAAAAAAATGTGTGTTTGCAATGAGTATCGGAGTGCAAAAAGTCATTTTGTACATGATTGGTTTAAATTGGGCAGTGCATTAAGAGTTATTATATGATATATAATATTAATATAAAACAATAGTAATTGGGGATTTTAAAAAAAATGGTGTTTGTAATGAGTATCGGAGTGCACAAATTCATTTTGTACGTGATTGGTTTTATAATGGGCAGTGCATTAATAATTATTATATGATATATAAATTAATACAAAACAATATTAATTATTCAAAAACAATATTAATTGGGGATTTTCAAAAAAAGGGTTTTTGCAATGAGTGTGGAAGTGCAAAAGGTCATTTTGTACGTGATTGGTTTAAATTGGGCAGTGCATTAATAATTATTATATGATATAAAATATTGATACAAAACAATATGAATTGGGGATTTTAAAAAAATGGTGTTTGCAATAAGTATCAGAGTGCACAAAGTCATTTTGTAAGTGATTGGTTTACAGTGGGCAGTGCATTAAAAATTTACAAAAATAAAAAAAGATATACATATTAATAGCATCAAAGACAATGAAATTAATCAAGTGATTATATTTGATTTGATTATAAACACATACAAACAATTTTATAAGCAGATTAATGCCACAAAGGTTTATTTAATAACGAATGAACGAATAGCAAAGAAGGGTCAATTAATATGAAAAATAGTGAGATTTTATTAAACATGCAAGGAAATGTTGTACAGATATAGAGTACAGACAAAGCACAGTGAGTTTAGAATATATTTATATTACATGAAAACAGGTGCAAAAATTCCAAGTGCAGGCATGAAAGAGAAGAAAGGAAGGAAACAGAACGATACATTAATCACTGAATGAAATATGTAATGATACATTCAATGTATTTCAATGGCCATGGAAATAAGACAGCTAGATGACTAAAAGTTGGAAAGAGTATGATCACAAGCATGGGACCTTTCTTGTACTATAATATTCTTTATCCTGTTAATCGTTTGATTGAAATTATAGTTTTAAAATATTTTTATTGCCACTTGACTGTATTTTTACACATTGTTTTAATTGATGTTGGAATTTGGAAATAAATGATTTGAATTTGAATTTGAATTTGATAGTTTCCTTCAAAAGGAGATAGGCAACCAGAAGATGGATGACAAGCAACATATTCCAATTTCATAATTATGGAACATCTACATGTAATACCCAAAGACTCATAATGAATAATTCTTCCTCATTATTCCAAGCATAAGCACATTTTGTTTGTCATCAGTCAATATTAAATTTACCTCACCTAAAAAAATATGTGAAGGAAAAGATTTGAAATGTCAGGATATGATGAATAATGAAAGACACCCTACAAAATAAGTGTGAAGGAAAAAACAGCATGATTTGAAATGTCAAAATATGATGAATATTGAAAGACACCCTACCTGAGAGGAGTTGACTTGGCGTAGGGTGAAGCCAGGCTAACATCCAGAGTCACGTCGCCCTCCTGACCTGCTGCAAACTCGCTCATATCGGCCGCAGAGGCATCGGCATCCTGGATGACCGCCTGGGCGATGTCCCTGAGCGCCATGTGCAGAGCCTCGCACTCCTCCTGCACGGCACGCAGGGAGCCGCCGTCGGCCCCGGGAAGCATGTAGGCTTCCTGGGAGGCCTCGGATTGGGCGGAGTCAAAGTGGTCGCCGCCGGCAGCGGAGGCGGAGCGCTGGCGGAGCTGGTTCTCCTTCTCGGCCACCTGGATCTTGTAGCGCTCATTAGCGATGGTCAGCTCGTTGATTCTGGAAATCAAGTGGTGTAGAAAGTTTTGACAACAATTCATTTCATTTTCTTATTATGTGATATCTGAATTATATATATATAGGCAAACCAAACAAAGCATTAGTTGTCAAAAGGGAATTGTTTTCATATGAAACCAAAGTTAAAAGAACACTCTTTATGAAGTATTCCCTTTACCATAGCTTAAAGGAGGTGTAGGATGACAAGACTATGTGTCTTTCCCGTGGCCAATCAGGTATAATACGACTATGGACGACACGACCGCAGTATTCATGTGCGTGCAACATACAGGAAACTGAAGCATGAGGAGAACATCGGTCAGTTTCGCGAAAGCTAGCGCGCACTGACCGTTAATCAAGTCCATTGTTTACATGCAGTTGTCCAAATGAAGTTGTAGATGGCGTTAACCAGTATTTGCCATGCTACACCCCCTTTAACCTTTTCAGTCTACTTTTCTGCAGGAACTCACCTTGTGGTTAGGTCTCCCTTCTCTGCATCAAACTTGGCCTGCATATCCAGCATATCCTTGAGTTTCTCCCTCATCTGGGATTCTAGTTGCATCTTCTCGCCCTTCTCCCTCTCCAGGGCCATGACTGCACCGGTCTCGCTACCCTGTGAGGCTGACTGGAGGTTCTGGCAGGCCGATTGGGTGTTGCGTGATGTACGGGTTACGTCCGATCGCATCTGAGTGAGGTCCCTGCAAGGCATAAAAGAAGAAGAATGTATCGTAATGCCTTCTTAGGCTCTCTGGTATAAAACCTAGCTTTTGGACTAAATAGGATTTTTTTTTTTGGATTTAAGAGGAGTCGTGGGCCCCGTGTTACAAAGAGTTGATTTCAATAAGTTGTGATTGATATTAATCGCAACTATGTACATAACAGATAGGAGACTGCAAACTTGCGATTAATATGGATCAATCGCAACTCTTTGTAAGACGGGGCCTGGTTCATCTCAATTTCACATGTTGTCCTTCAACTAAATCTTCCAGGTTTTGCATTACATAAAATGGTACAAAAGTACTTAGGCACTTCCAAAGGTGTTCTTATATAGAGGCAGAACAAAAATTGAGGGAAGTCTAACCTATAAAACAAATAGAAATAGAAATAGAAATTCTCTAAAGGAATTCAGGGCTCCGTCTCACAAAGAGTTACGATTGATCCAAATCAATCGCAAGTCCTTCGATCGATCGCAAGTTTGCGGTCTCCTATCTCTTATGTACATAGTTGCGATTGATATCAACTCTTTGTAAGACGGGGCCCTGGATAGAACAAATAAGTTTAATTGAAAGGATAGGAGAATCTACCATTTCTATCTTTAATTGTTTCTCCAGCAAAGGAACAAGATTATTTTCCTTGAAGTGTGGAGGCCCCAATGACAAATCATCTTCAAGGCTAACTCAAAGAGGACAGACAGAAATATGGCAAGAAGAAAAAAACATTGACTTCTTCCTTGTAAGTCTGGCATCTGGGGCCATCGTGCTATTGATGTGGCATTGAAATGCCAACAAAATGAAATGCCAACAAAAAGAAATGCAATTGTTTACCTCTCAGTCGAACTTTTCATCTCCGCAAAGTTTCTTCTGAAGGCAACAATTTGACGCCATAGAACCAGAAGACGACTGTGCTCGCTGTTAAAGTACTCATTGAAGGACTGAAAGGGAAAAAAACATAGCAGAGAACTTAATTCATTACAAGCATTCTTGAAATATTGATATTTTATGAAAAAGAGAGGGTTCATAAGGCTCAAAATATATATTCAAGAATATTTACACAGCAGTATAAAGAAGGCCAAAGTTGATGGGGATATTATGTCATTAAGAAATTACCAGCTATATCTTCATAACTGAGGGAAGAAGCATATGATTGTCATCATTATGAACATTATACATGTACCTGTACACTGATAATCTATGATATAATATAACTGACAAGACAGCCTATCCTGGTGCTCTACATGCATGGACACACTCAAAATTGTAGTCCTAAACAGGACACAATATAAACTTGTTGTAGTTTCAGTAGCGATGAATAAAGGTAGTATTCAGTAATTACACCATCACTCTCTTATTATTCAAATCAATTCAATTAAATAATGGTTTTATTAAAAAACAATGCCTTGCAGCCAAAGTGCTGAATTGTGCATGTTTACATATACATTAGCTCCATTTATACATAACATAATATTTCATTTATTACAACCATTCAAACAGTATTGGTAATCCTTAACATTACTAATGTGTAGCTTTTTAAAATCAATCACTATATATCTACATTTTAGAAATCTATTAAAGTTCACATAAGTACTAATAATGATTGATTAAATACAATACAATATATAACATCAAATAAGTTAAAAAGCTAATACGAAATTATTGCAACTGTGTCCTTAACAATTCATATTCATTGAAAATTGAAAGTCAGCAAAATGTTGCTCTATGTTGCAACAATATAACAATACTAGCTTTTACTGGTAATACTATCATTTCCTCTCGTGAATCTTCCACTCACCTTCTCCTCGTCCCTCCATTCTGTCTCTCTGTTGTCCAGATCGTCCTGCGATCTCTTGACCTCGTTGGACAGCTGATCTATTTCGTGGTTGAGTGACCGGTTGGCCTCCGTGGCTTGGTCCAGCTGTTCCCGCAGCATCGAGTTCACCTGGGCCAGACTGGCGCTCCTGTCACAAACCACAAATGAATGGATACATATATATTGATTACGACTTCCAAGGATTGCACTTGGTGGTGTGGAGAGTAAACAAGGCACCAGGACTTAAATAGGCCTGTCTTCATCATCTCGAGATTGCGAAATAGCCCGCTATTTCTAATTTGGGAAATGATCCCGAAGTTACATATCGCGTCTTCATCAGCTCCAGATTTGACCGTAAAACTTGAAACTCGAGCTCAAGAAATTAGCTCAAGGTATTTTGCTCAGCGTCTGCGCATAGTGCGAGTCTTCGGCTGGTGAAGACGCACCGGACAAATAGCGGGATATTTTGCAAACTAGCCCAAGATATTGATGATTATCTCAACCAAATATCCCGCTCATTGCAACTTCAGTCTGATGAAGACGCTAATTAACTGGGTAATTTGTGATCGGGATAGTTCAAATAGCGGGTTATTTGGCAATCTCGAGCCGATGATGACAGGCCTATTGTTACACAACACGGAGACCACTAACCAGGGCCCTGTTTTCACAAAACTTATCATCGATAACAACAACTACAATAATTCAATGAGAGAGTGCTCCAGGCCAATCAAGTGCGATTATATCGGAACCTTAAAACCATTATTGTCACCAAGTATTGATCACAAGTTTTATGAAACAGGGCCCGACGTGGCCATTGTTTACGCTCATATATAATGCAATGTTTGGGTTTTGTTTTTCATAGGTGCGTAAAAGAAAGCCCGACCAAGATGTCGGTCACACAGAGTCCTTGACCCACTTGGCAACACGCACTATGCTTCCTTGCTAATGTTTGTAAACAAAAACGTAAGTCTGACAGGTCACAATAATAAACAAAAAGGCACATATTTGGTCCAACAAAATTGAAGTAATGATTGCAAGACCTAAATTGAGAACAGATTGAGCATACAGGGAAAAAATGCTTCATCCTATTTTATGTCTCTATTTATGACCCCGGAGTCCAGGAAAATGTTTATGATATTTCTCATACGGACACAATGGTAATAGTATTTTTGCAAAACAACTACCGGTACATTTGTGGCTTGTACAGAATCACAAGTAAGTCGGACTTACAGGCACCAAGTATTTGTGGCACATACAGCACAGTATTGCAATTCCATACTTCTGTTGTTTTTTCATTTGATTATTAACCTATAACATGAGTGCTTTTTGGCAAGGGGAAGATTTCTTTGCCTAAATTACGATAAAACCTGCACTGATTTATCACTTTTTCTGTGAGTCGACACCTGTATTGCACCGTTTTTTGTCCTTCAGCAAGCATTTTAAGAGGGCTAAAAAGTTCTAAGAGTTTGCCTTATTTGAATAGATTAAAAATTGATCTAGGTCCATAGATACAATAGCATGCAAAAGAACCTCAATAAAAATATTTTTTGTTTAATGTTCTTTGGGGCCATATGATCATTACATTTTTTTTTCAAAGGTACACTATCCTAATGCCTGTACAGTATGTGCCAGAGATGATGTTTTGTCAAGAGCATGTAACATTGAAAGTAAACAAATTTGAAAGAGGAAAGACAAAAAATTGTTTAGGACTTTGGAAAAAAACCTCATCCTTGCATGCAGCGAAAGGGTGAATTGCTACAAGTAAAAGACAATGCTGAAATATGTGCTTTATACAATGTCATTTATCAATTCTTAGCTCACATACATATAGCAAATATTCACTACTTCAAAAAAAAATATTTCAAATGTGGCTAATTGCCAGAAACTCCATTAAGTAACCCTTTTTCTGGGAAAATCAATTAACATGCAAGCAAATAACTGTATACTGCAATCCAATACCACAGCAGTGAATTCACAGAGGATCGATTTATATTCAATTTTGTTTCCAAAACAAAGTCAGAACAATTTTTGCAGATATGTTGATGATAGAGACTGATACTTCTTGATAATCCACATCAACACAGAACAGGTTTAAAATGACATCATCTTGATCTCCAAATCACATGAATCACAAAAAATATAAACATCCAAAATTCACTTCAAGAGAAAGCATGGATGCTATTATTTTATATACTTGCTTATAAATCTGATTATCAAAAGTGACTAGTACTCTACTTTGACTAAGTATTCTGCCCTGAAATGGCCTAAAACTGTACAATATTAATTAGTTCCCAGGAAGGTACAGGTATAAAAATAGCCAACAATGAAAGTTTTGCTTTTATTGGCTACATACAGTAACCCTTGATTACACATTGTTTAGAGTATGTGTGATTTTCCCATATACGCCTTGTACAAGTGACAAAAGTCAACTGCGGCAGTCCACATTTGGTTCCACTTTTTGACGAAAAGCAGGCAAAGAGTAAAGCATACAAAAGATTTCATTTGGGAGTATGCAGCAAAATTGCGGAAACTGTTTAATTGAACATGTCTTAGCTTAATGTTGCTTGGACACCATCAAATAATTGCGCTACATTAGTAAACAGCTATACTTTAAGAGATTTCCTTTATATTATGCAGTATTCTCCAACAAGGCTAAATGTTGTATCCATGTAAATCTCGTTTTGGTACTGTTTTTTTCTTCTTCATCATGAATTACATCATCCAAACTGAACCCTTCCTCCTACAAGATGTAGAAATATTGTTGCTCCTAACCCTTAACTATATAATTTCCTCTCTTATTTTGTTTAAATGTAAATGTTTAAATCGCGCACTTTTAAGCATGAAAGTGCACAGAACATATCAAGTCAAAATACAGAGTGTATCATAAAAAAGAAGTATAGGCACTACAAGTGTGACATGTACAACGACAGAATTTTCATAAGATGAATGGGACGGCTACTGAAAGAATACTCGATACATGAACATGAACATTTATTGTGCCGTAGACAAGTCGTGTTACCTTTGGAGCTCCTCTTTCAGTTCTAGTTGGAGATTGCTTTTGACGTCAAATGAAATATTAAAGAAAGCTTTTTGAAATTTAGGAGGTAGGAATGCCTTGATTAAAATTCCCTTTTCTGTTACATTCGTGGATCCCCCTCCCCTTTTCTTAGTCATCTCGGGCTTAGTACTGAACAGGATTAAAGAAATTAATTCTGCAATAGCCTTCTGGGATATTGAGCATTAATGTAAAGCACAACTGTTTCTTGCCTCAACATTCAATAAATAAGAATTAGATTGCAAAATGAAAAATAAATGATTCTTTCAATAAATGTCTTTTTTTTAATAAATGATTTCTTTTGTGACTGTATCAGAATGTAACTTGTGAATGGCGTTACCTACACATGCAAATTCAATATTGTAAGCTGTAGTGTCTTGTAGTCTCGAACTCAAGGTCTGACGGTGGAACCAAGTGGAAATTTGTCTTTCCTCACTAACATAATCATCATTTGTTCATTTTCATTATTTTGCTGATCATATTTACCGTTGCTGTTCCTCCTCGAGCCTGATGAGGGTGCCCTCCAGTTCCGTTGCGTGCTCGTCCACCCTCATCTTGAGACGAGTCTCTGCATTCTCGAGCTGGGTCTGCAAACTTTCAGATGTAGTCTGGAGCTAACATGAACATGAATCAGTAAAAACGATTAGTTACTTTCACTTTGCTTTTTTTATTCTGTGACATTTAAAAAAAAAGAGCATATTGACAGTTAAACTATTTTAATGATAATCATTTAATCCCAAGCATGCCTTTCCAAAATATACAATTGATAATGATTTAATTTTTGAAAGTCAAAACATTTGGCTTATAATAATCAAATCTCAAGCTTAATTTTTGCCTTTTATTAGTAAAAATACTTGATTGATAAAATCATGCTTTTTGGAACTTCAAATATTTGATTGATAATGATTTAATCCGGTGCTGTTGGAGCACCCACATACATACACAAAGTTCTTGGCATGTGTATGATTTTGTATCAAGGATTGACAACTCGACTAGTTTCACGCTCAAAGATGTGCGTGGGTTCGATCATGTCGGAAAAGGATCACTTTGAACAAAGATTTAATTCCAGTGGATTCTTGATACTAGTACATAGGACAGCTGCAGTCTTCTTGCTCTGTGATTTCAGATTTCAACGTGGCAAAAATTGTACAGAAACAAGGGACAGACTTACAGATATCTTCTCTCGATCGGATTCGTTGAGGCTGTCCTGCAGTGAGGATTCAAGGTCTCCACATTTCCTCTTGTATTGCAATACCTAAAAGAGACAGAAAAAAAGAAAACCATTGTAATGATCATAGAGGTACACACTGTACATGTATATACAAAGTAAAGAAGACTGTGTCTTCATAAGAATTTAGGTTAAAGATATTTTATGTATGCCTTGTTCAGCACTGGTGTAAGCTTCTTTATAGACAAGAATGTTTTTCTTTGAAGCCAGATAAGGATGTATAAACTTGCTGGCTTTTGCAGCTTTTATCAATAAAAAGTGGAAAAGAAAGTTTGGCCTGTACGTGTAGTTTGGGCCTAAATCAAATCTTACCCTATTCTTCTAAATCTTAAAGGGGCTGTAGCGTGACTTAGGACCAATCGGGTATAATACAACTACGGACAACGTGACCTCAGTAGGCCTACGTATTCACGTGCGTTCAACATACACGAAACCGAAGCGTGAGGAGAACTTTGGTCTGTTTTGCAAACGCTAGCGCGCCCTGACCCAGTTTATCAAGTCTATTCCTTTTACGTGCAGTTGTCCAAAAGAAGACGTAGATGGCATCAACCAGTTTTTCCAATGATATACCCAGAGATGCCAACCTTCTTCAACAAAAAAAAGTATTCTTAAGAGCAAAAAACAGTATTTTTGGACAAAAAACAGTATTTTTGAAAAAATCTCTCAACTTAACATATCGGCCAATCGAGCAGCTTAAAAAACCAGGCAGTACCACGTATACGTACCCGGATCGGAGCGCGACGTGCATACATTACATGTGGGTTGTTCGCAATGTGCGCAGTTTGGGGCCCGTATCACCATCCTCCGTGCATCGTTTTAAGATGTACAGTAGGTGCATAATACACTTACGACACAAAGCCCATGATCAGAAATTAAGAAAAACATCACTAAAAAAAAATTTAAAAAATAAAATTAAAAAATAAATAAAATAAAAAAACGTAACAAAACATACAAAAAACGTACTGCCGTATTCATAGCGAAAAAACGGAACAAATACGGCAAACACGGAACAGTTGGCATCTCTGTATACCGTAGCCCCTTTAAACTTAATTTAAAACCCAATAGCAACCCTAACCCAACTTTTCATATCTTTGAGAAAATAAAACCTCTGGAACTTGTTGCTGCAGCAAATATTGATCACTGAAATTAATGATTCTTTGTTGATAAACCATTCAAGTTCAAGATAGCTTGGGAATTCAGTGCAAGTCTCTGTTCGCAATCTTGATATGGCTAGACTTTACAATTGTTGAAGCCAGTTTTGTTCCAATTCTTTACCCATTTGTTGAAATGTTGAGACCTAGAACTCACCTTAGCCTGTAGCTTCTGTACAAGCTGAGCCTGCCTCTGTTGGCCATCCTGATAGGCCTGGAGCTTTCTCTTGTAGCTGCCGTGTTCATCTTCAAGCTTCCGTCTCAGCTCCACGTTCTGCGAGACCAGGCTCCGGTTCTGCTCCTCCCGCTCCCGCTCAAAACCAGCATCCGCCTTGTAACTCTGCTCCAACTGAAATGAAAGAAGACGGTTGCATTGATATCAATAAAAATAATGACAATAATTATAACTGTTGCTTATATGACACGTATTAAACCAGTTACAGTCACCTATTAAACCATTTACAGTCATATTACCTTGGTAACTGGATTTAACTACAATCCTGCACTTAAGAGTATACACTCTCGATCCACTCCGGGGAAGTGTTCTGGCCAATCACCTATTTACAGGCAGGCACATGCTAATCCAATCACACTGACGTACCTTCATATCATACTACATACCCATCAAAGACCTGGGTGGAGAGAAGCAGTGTAGATGAAGTGGGAAAGCCAATACAGTTCTAAGCATTTTCAAAAAGTGATTTGCATTAACAACTTAATATGAAACATACATGTAATAGGCCAGTTTATAAAATTTCATGCATTTCAAATAGAAGTTGCTTTGAATGATCATATAGCATTTACAAGCCTTGCCTGATATAGCATATATATGGTGGATTTCATCTACATTTACAGAGATGCTTTCTCTCATTACAGGTAAATCAAATTCGTCACTAAGGGCACTGAGAATAAATGCTGAAATTAATGAGTAAGCTATTAAACTGTCTGATAACACAAATATGAGCGTCTTGTCTTCCTTTTCTCGCACACACACAGAAGCCGGAGAATTTTAATCATTAACATTTTTAAATCATTAATAACACACTCCATTACACATATTGTAAAACTTAAGAATACTAATGCCATGCTCAAGTACCAGTACTCGTATTCAACAACCAATAGCAGCACCTCTATTGCTTTTTATTCTCTCAACAAAGCACATTCAATATACCATGACATCATATCGTCCTTGTTTTCACGAAGTGACGGTAGTGAGGAAAATCGTAACGCAAAGTGAATGCAATTTTTTTTCACTACCGTCACTTCGTGAAAACAGCGACGATATTCTATTTATAGATAAAGAAGAATGATCAGAGGGTAATGAATGATCACATAAATTTCTTTACTTCTAGGAAACTAAACTCACCCCTGCCAATGTTTTAAAAGATATGAGATACATCACTGAAACTTCAGATGCAATCACCAAAATAACAAATGTTGTACTTCCAAGTATCACGCTTCTTCAATGGTACAGTATAGTAAGTTTGATATTTCCACAAGAACAGATCAGCGTAGACATGAATAGCAAAATAACCAATGCTCCAACTTGTGAATATGGATATGTGAAGCTAAAAACAAGACGGAATGGCACTCCCAAGACACACACCAAGAATAATATCTTAATATTTCACTTTTGAAAGTTTTCTTCAGCTCAATCACTCATTCTGTACATACTGTAATTAGGGGCATTTCCACACAACGCAATTAGCCGTGGCCTTGCTTATGCCCACATCAGATATTACTGTTAATTAATTAAATCCACGGATTGAGATCTGTTGAAAGCCGATGTGATGGCCATTGCCTTCCCCTGGCCAGAGTATACTGCAAATTGAAAGATTATCACCCACCACACAAGGTCGCGCTCGTATCGAGCTCATTATTTATTTTCATCCATATCATACACGCCTCCAATCACAAGCCTCCACGCCTTTGGGAGAGTCATTAAAAACTGCCTTTTACTCCAAATTTACAACCTTGATTCTAGAGCATGTGAAAGGGTGGTGATTGAATCATATCAGACAGAATATATATATATATATATATATTTCCCCTTCCCATTTGCATAATGTACATGTAGGTATCATTTGACACTTTTAAATGAAATAAAAGTAGTTAAATATACAAATAATACATGTTTGCGAGTGCATTATTTGCACGCAGGTTAAAGTCACGGTAGGATTACTAATGAACGAGACTTGTCAAGTTCACTGTCTGTCTCATTGTGACTTAACCAAGTGCAGTGTATATATCACTAGTAAATGCATGAGCTAAAAACATCTACAATATGAGTATAAAAGTCAAGAAATTTACAGTTGTTATCAACCATTTATGGTTTATGGTTTATGGTGTATGGTTTATGGTTTATGGTGTATGGCTATTTCTTGATATCAAGAAATGATTTTCTGTTGTAAAGCAATGGTAACTCTAGCTATCAAGCAATAGGAATAAATGTTAAAACGGCTTGCCATAGATATGCCAAGTACACAAAGGTGTGACTGAGATATACTGTAAGTGCTGTACTATTTGACTGTAAGATACTATCGATAAATCTATTGCATGCCTTAATTTAGAGCTTTTTAAACTTTTCTTTATAGCCCTCTTAAAGTGCTTGCTATGAACATAAAAGAGTGCAGTGCTGGGAAAAACTCACAGAAAAAGTGATTAAAAAACAATTAGTGGTTGTCTCTAAAAGTAATTCTGTCATGATCACAACTATGGAATGTACTTCATAGTTAATAACTTCCAGTAAATTTACTTTCTGCCCAAGACTTGTAAATACATGTACCGAAAGGTATGGGCATAGGCTTAAACTGCAGGCCAATCAGGGCTAGTAAAAAAAAAAGCTACATTTACAACAATATGTAGGCCCTTATCGAGGGGCGGCAATGTCACTGCACTATTTTGTGCACCGACAGGCAAATACATGCCTACAGGCACAAATGAATTCAATTTCCTGAGCTCAGAATATTAGATGCTACCCTGGTATCTATATCTTCTCAAGGTCAAAAGCCATTATAAAATTGCAAATGAATTAATACTGTGAGCACAAAGTAGAGAACAACCGAAGCAACTTTTTTCAATAAAAGCCCAGCGACAATGAGACTGGAAATTTGAGTATTTCATATCTAATTGCTTTCATTGTCATTCATAAACATTGTTTGCTGCATTCTTGTTTAGGTAATTTTTTTGGAGGAAAAAACAAAAAAAGTACAGGGAATGTTCACTTTATACGTATGTGTTCATAATGATAACTAAACAATGCTGGCATTAAGCCTATCAAAAAGGAAAGTTGCACAATACATGGATTGACTTACAGAATAATCTTCATTCAAAATTGGCTCATCATTAATGCATTAAAAAGAAATTTAATGTTTTATTATAAGCCAGCACATTATTTGAACAATTCTATGAAGTTAAATTGCCACTTGAGAAGATTTACAATGCAGTTCATTATTTATATTTGAATGTGTTTTAATAACAAATTTAACTTCCACAGTTTATTTTCCATTACTTCTTTCCAAACAAAGAAATAATATAAAATAAAGTTTTTAAAAAATAAATAATAATAATGGCCCCTCTCCCCCTCCAATCCTCTGTATACCAAAACATAAAACTTAAAAATGTAGGATGGATCGAGACTGTGGTGGGTGAAGAAAACATACAGAGACAGTCAAATGTATAAGTAGAAATGAAAACAGAAGTAGAAAGACAGAGAATAAGTTTGAGAGGGAATGAGTGGGGGTGGGGGGGAGACAGTAAGGACACTATTATGATTTAAGCGTTCAAAACTTTCTTTGAGGAAAATGATAACTTTATACTTTACTGAAGTCCATAAAAAACAACTGCACAATGCTTGTATTATGCTTTTCAAAAAGGAAACTTGTACAATACAATCTTTCAGACTAATTTTCGTTTCAATGGCTCATCATTTATGCATTAAAAAGAAATTTAATCTTCCATTGTATGCCAGCATATATATATTCCTTGAACAATTCTATTATATTGAATTGCCACTTGATATGACTACAATGCAGTACCATACCAGTAATTGAATGTGTTTTCACAACAAATGAATTAACTTCAAACTTAATATTCATTACTTTTTTCCAAGCAAACAAGTGATATATAATAAAAGTTTTATACTACAATAGTTAGATGACTGAGTTATCCCCCCCCCCCCCCCCCCACCATACCACAGTAGAAAGCTATAAATGTAGGCAAGAAAAGGGTGCAAGAGCATAATAAAAAAATTTAAAAAAAAGAATACAGAGAGAAAGAGATAAATGTACAATTAGAAGTAGAAATATAGATAGAAAACAACAAGTTGAAACCAGCGATGAGAAAGAGGAGAGAATGAGAAAGGGAGAGGAAGAAAGTAAAAGCATGACAACATAATGTTGAACAGAAAGAGAGAAAAAGAAAATGAAAGAAGGAACAAAAGAGAGTCTAAAAGAGAATAAATGATGCAGGTAAGAGTAAAAAGGGAAGAAGTAAATAAAACAGGATAGAGAGGGATATATATATATAGAGAGAGAGAGAGAGAGAGAGAGAGAGAGAGAGAGAGAGAGAGTGTGAGAAAAACAGAGAAATTGAGATAGAATTAGGGGGGGGTAATGAGAAGTAAGATTTGGGGAAGATAACAAAGAAATTAATAGCAAGGGAAGAAGAAACTTGACAGTAAAATAGAAATGTAAGAGACAGACCTTAAAAAGGCATATTATGAAATTCTCTCACATTGCCTCCCTGCAAAGCTTTGAATAAAGTTTAAAGGTCACCAAAGAATTATATAGAGAGGAAACAAATATTCTCTAAATGGCCGCCAAACAGAGGAAAATGAGTGATTCCTCACGTGTTGGTTTTTCAATGAAATGATTGATTGCAAGCCTATCATCAAAACCATATCATAAAACTTTTCTTTTATGATTAAGCTTTTGTGATCAATTGATCAACTGCAAATGAAAATGGAATATAGAAGACTTTAATAGCATTAAAGCTGCCTGTATAATAATGACAACAGTAAATGTCCAATGCACTTAATCAATTTTCAATTTCAAAAGAAAAAAACTTGATCAATACTCTTTTCTATATCCTTATAGATCATAAGTAAAGTAGTTTGATTAAAGTTACTAGATAACATTTAAAAAAATGTTTCCATGAAATTGCATTATTTTATTGTATTGCCTGAATAAAAAACTGAATGATTAATTATACAGGCTGTATTTTCATTCACTTCCTGCTCTGTCTCTGTTTGTCCCTCTCTGTTTCTCTCTGCCTCTCTCGCTCTCCTTTTCGCTCTCCTTTTCTCTCTCCTTTTCTGTCTTGTTCTCTTGTAGGTGCTGCAGTATGTAATTATACCCCACAATAATTAATTGCATCAGTGTAAAATGTATTTTATCAAAAGAGAAAGAGCTATCAATTATTTCTTTTAAACAAACATGAATAAAGGCGAATCAAATAATGCTGTTGCCTAAAATATGATGCAGCTCTGAATCCCCGTTCATAACAATAACAAACAAAAATTGAGAGATTGTAGCATATTTTATACATACATGTTTACAACTAGTATGCATAGGAAGATCAGAAACAAGTGTAAACGTAAATCTCCTTGTGTGCTTCCTCAAAGTAAAAGTAATCATAACTACTGAAACAGAGGCAGAAGTAAACTATAAATAAATGAACACCAACAAAAATATTTTAAAAAACCTAGTTTCTAATTAAGCACCTCTTTTGTGTCGCAGCAGGCATCCACCATCTCAAGAAAAGGTATTCTTTCGGAAAGCGCATCCTCTGAATTCTCATCAAAATCAACCGCCCCTTCATGGGGGGCCCTTGGCTCTTTCTTCACATACCAATCATCATTGATGGTATACTCATCGTCATATCCGACAAACTTTTCATAATCTTGGTCCCTTTCCTCCTCCTCTGCCCATCCTTCCACCTTCCTATCCGTATCCCCATCTTGTTTGGCATCATCTCCCGAATACTCCTCCTCAAATTCATCCTCCTCACGAGGGGTTGGGAGTTCCATGGAGCGCATCCGCCCCTCCTCGTAAATAGGCATCTTGGGGGCGTAGCCCGTGATGTTGGAATGTCTCCGCCGAGGGGAATTCCCCTGGCCGGGAGGGGAGGGGCTTGTGGAGTTGCTGGTGTACGAGAAGCCCATGAGGCTGTAATCGGAGTGTCTCCGGGAGTAACCATGGCGATCTAGTAGTTGTTTCACTCGTTCAGTGAGTTCCTCGTCGGTAGCGTCAGAAAAATTTGGGTCGGTCTTTTGGATGGTGTCTTCCCACTATGGGTGCGTGTGTGTGCAAAAAGATTAGATGTTGAGAGCTCTCCAGATTTGGATCACAGAGAAAACTTTGAAATGCACTGTCCCAAGATACCGGTAACCATTATATAATTTCTTTTCTTTTTTTATCAAAAATATAAAGTGTATTGTATAAGTGTATAAGCTTTACAAAGATGATAATTCTTGTGAAGGGGCTGCTATGCCTACATATCAAACACTTTATCACCTTCATTTTAGCAATATTTCCAAAATGTATATTTATTTTTTATTTTTTGCTGTTAATTTTCATGTTTAATACAGGTGACCATTTTTAATGGAATCATTATTTTTTTTCCAAGTTTAACAAGTGCGTATATGATAACCTTTGCAAAAGGACTGCATTTCTTAGTCTCACTTTTTGATCAAATATAAAAACCATTGCTAGATTTGTGTTAGCAATCACACATTGCAAAGAAATATCCGACCAATCACGTGCTTGTGCTCATGAACTCTTTATATGATGTGTAGTGAAACCCTCAACCACATTGTTTTAGTGTGCATGTACATATATGTTCCAAACAAATTGTTCTTGTGACAAAAGTTGACTGTAGTAGTCCACTGAATGATTCATTAGTTGACTAAAGCAAACAAAGAGTTAATCAAAAGGTTAAAAATCCATCAGGCAGGATGTTGTGTTAATTGTTACTTAACCAGCTAAGAAAGATAACCAAAGTAATGACTATTTTAACTTCTGGATTATCTAGTCTTGCGGATCAGCAGATAAGTTCAGATAGTTTTCCTCAGTTGTATGTCAAATACTTAAAGGAATGGATTCATGTAAACATTATAGTTACCAGTAGCAGTGCTTATCACTTTGATTTGATGTCAACCATTATTATGTTTTGTTTTGTTTTGTCTTTTTGTCATTTAATTTGAAACAACAAATTTGCTATTGAGTAGCTCCTAACATACATGTACAAAGAAAAAGATATCAGAAGTAGTAAAATACATACAGTCAATGATTAACTCTGCATATTATAAGCGGTGTAGAATGAAGTAATAAGTAAAGGGTGAATTTTTTTTCTTCGAATTCTAAATGAAAACAAAAAAGATACATGTAGTTCTATCACCATGATTCTTTTAATCATATTTTTCCATGGGCAATTTTTGCAAAGTTAATATTAACTTCATAGGGTTAATAGGACAGAATCAACTCTCCAAGGCACTTTTCATCAGCAATCACATGAATATAAAATATTAACTCTTCATAAGCATAACTGAAAATTGAGCTTTCATAGGGATTTTCCCCTAGAATTTTGCTGTGCTGATGAAAATGCTAAATCCCCTCAATGCCAGAGAGATCCAGTGTGGGATTTAAAAGATTTGCATAATGTTTTCAGCTACTGACAAGTGCCAAGTATGTGACAAATTGTTTCTGTTTGTCCGATTGCATTTATACACTAAGGTTTACAGGATATCATATACATGCAAGTGTTCAGAATGCACTATGTAAAGAGAAAATGATACATTTTTACATTGTAATTTCATTTTTATTTCTATTAATATCTCAAAGTCTCAAGAAAAATACAAATTCAACAATTCAATGTTTTAGTTTTAGTTTGATCGTGAAAGCAATATTGGAAATGAATATATCTGTTGGCTGAATTGAATTTTGGTGTGGCATGGTACATCACACGTACTACATCTGCTAACAAAAACGACATATTTACTACTTCTTTACCATTTCACTCCTTAATTAAGGTGTAAATCACAAACAAGAGTGCCAATACATGTAGGTCTAAGTTTCTTGAGTTTGCAAAACAAACACCACATACATTCACACAAAAGAGGATAGAAAAGTGCACATGTATGTATGTCCCACACGTTCCCATGCATGTGACATTATTATCCACAACATTATGATTAATATCAAACACAAGAGAAGAAAGAAGAAGTCTCAGAAAATATAATTATTAATGAAATTATTATGAATAAAGTTAGGAAGCTATACCTGAAAGCAAGGAAAGGAAAGATTAAGTGCAACAACAAATTCAAACTTGCTTGTTGAATCCTAGTTTTGACCCTTCCTTGCTCCTCCGTTTCACCTGCTCCGCCCTTTCGATCCATCTCGCTATAAACCGGATAACCAAACCCTTAACTCTTCAACTCGCTCACAAAGTCACAGCACGATGCCAACCGGGCTTCAATCATACTTCTGTCTCAATTGAAGTTCAAAGCCTCACAATACACGGACACAATAGCAATATGCCCCAGTTGTTTATCGTATTAAAGCAAGCGTGCAAAGTCAACCATAATGCATACGTGAGTGCATGGTAGCCATTCCTACGGTACTATGAATGAAGTAGCGTCCCCTACAACCAGGGGACAATAGTGGAATATTGATTATTTAAATCAGCCGGGGATCCGTTAGCACAATACCCATTCATTAAGATTGTTTTGAACCGGGCGTAAAGGGCAAGTCAGTACACTATCGGAATGCATGCATTTATCAGAATATTTCTGCAGGCATTTCTGAGAAAAAGATAAAATGTAAGTACCGGTATTCTGTTCTTAAATTGATTACCCGGTAGTAGCGAGGAGGTAGAGAGCTATGAAGCCTCTTTAGAAACCTAGCTGTAAGTAGTCCTGTATTTGAGATGGATTAATCTTGTCTCTGATTCTGATGCAAATAATGCTACTTGATAGGATTAAATCTCAATATAACAGTTTCATCTCCCACCTGATGGCAAGTTTGTATGAGATTATGCTCCTTATGGGCCAAGCTTTTCACCACTGCAAAGTCCTTGACAGAGTTAAATCCTTGCATTAGTGAATGACTCTCATTTGCTTCAAGAAGGATTTTGGGATTCTGAATCTGAAGAAGGGGAGAGCATCCATTTCAATCTGATTATCCCTCATTTCACAGCTCCATTCTTGTAATCCTATCAGAAAGGCTGAACTCTCCCAGATCCCACTTCCAAGAAAGTTGGCATGCACAAACCCTGGTCAGTCGCTGGGCATGACAATGTCTGGAAGATGAGACTACAATAGTCTCTGTTCTTGAGCTGCTCTAGACATCGACACAGCCAGAAACCGACAGATCTAGGCTATGCTCAAGGCTTTATGAATTGTGGTAAATTGTCAAATTAGAGTCTGTACTTGCAGACTACATGTACTTCCAACTGATGTGGTCCACAATCATTTTTGATTGGGTCGACCTGCCATCTCATGAATATTCATCATTTCATGTATTTACAGCTTGCAACAGGAGTGGATTGTTGAATCAGGGAGATGACATCTCCCTGATTCAATTCATACTTTGGAAAATTGGACAGCAATGCACTTTGCCCATGAGCATCATTTGCAGTTGATAAACTTGATGAATAATATGCAAAACACATTACCGTATGTAAAATATCAATATGACTTTTCACTGATCTAAGTCTAGATGTAAAATATTTGAAGTTGTCCAAAGCTCTGTGATGATTATGAGTTGGTCAATATTAAAGCCCCACTGCACTAGTTATAGCTACTTGCGCCCTCTATATAGCAAACACTGCCTAATCGGTGCTTGTAAGTCCCCATGATCCTCTTTTTCTTATGTTAATTGAGAGCTGATTTAATGAGATAACCACCTGTCAGTGACCAAACTGGGTGGTGTAATCCCCCTGGGCAAACTAGTACAGACAGGCTTTAAGCTCCAAGGTGATTATGAGTTGGTCGATACTAAGGAACAGCAAGAACCTCATAAGACCACACTGGTAGCTGAATAGGGGAGAGCTGTAACGTCCCCCTACCCATTCATATTTAAATGGGGGCAAATAGGTTTACATATAGCACCCTGGTAATAGTGGTAGGAAGTGGATGGTTTCTGTTATTCTCCGAGGCCATTCAAGCTAGTGAATGACAAACAGAAGTCCAACAATGAAGCAGTTCCACCCTCGGAATAAAGCTGATAATGGGAGGGAAATTGATTTAGAACAACTGGGGTGGGTTATTGTTTGGGTGTAAACTGTTTGTGATTAATGTGAATAGAAAACATAGGCTCGCCTCAATGGAGAGCAGGCATGCTCAAGGAGTTATTACACAGGTAGTGGTAACTCCTTGGTAATATTAGAAATAGAAGCTGATGAAGGTTGAGAGCTAAATGGGGGGGGGGGGGGGGGGGGGGAGGGGGGAGGGGGGGGGGGGTCACTTGAGGAATAGTGTGCAACTTGCTCTCAACTACATGTACATGTATCAACTAAATTTACAGTAGCTGATGGATGGACACAATACTGATTTTTGGTAGGCAATGTGAGAGGGCGTAGTTTCTGGTCCTCTCTTCTTTTTGTTTCTTCTGTACTGTACTTGGTGTTTTAAAAATTGACACTTTTGGCAATCGTGAGGTATTTGGTCATTTACAGCACAAAGTACTGGACAGTTCTGAACTTTATAAATTGGCATTGATTGTGTCATTTCACTCAATGCTGGACTTAAAAAGTTGAAACACAGATCAGACTGATCATTTGTGCATCAAAGGATGAACTTGAACTTAAAGGATGACCTGCAATTCACAGTTGATTCTCAAAGTTGACTTGATATAAGCAATTCATGTTTCAGTCAGATTCCCTAGATCAAGGATAAACTCACATCCAATAGTTTAAAGGTCATCTCCATAGGCCTGTCATCATCAGCTTGAGATTGCCAAATAGCCTATTTCTGATTCGGGAAATAAGCCAGAAGTTACAAATCGCGTCCTCATCAGCTCGAGTATTGACCTCGAAACTTGAAACTCGAGCTCGAGAAATTAGCTCAAGATATTTTGCTCAGCGTTTGCGCATAGTGCGAGTCTTCGGGCTGGTGAAAACGCATCGGACAAATAGCGGGGGGGTTTCGCAAACTAGCCCAAGATATCTTGGGATGATTATCTCGACCAAATATCCCGCTAATTGCTACTTTGGGCTGATGAAGACGCAAATTAACTGGATAATTTGCGATCAGGATAGTTCAAATAGCGGGATATTTGGCAATCTCGAGCTGATGAGGACAGGCCTATATAGACCCTGATTCATGTTGGCTGTCTGATTCCCTCAGGGTAAAACCAGATCCTACAAGCGCCTACTTGGTAAACCCAGCAGGTAGCAATTTGTAGCTGATTCTGGATGTCTGGATGAATCACAAGAAATGATGACTGGGGGAATGTGCACATGTTCAAAGTCTCACCAATGAGTTCTTGGAGTTCAAGCTCTTTGGTCTTAACCCTCCTAACCTATCCCACGAAGCACACAATTTTGAATGGGGCTAGGGTGAATTGGTGTGAGCGCGTCCTAAACTCCTGATGTGTCAATGGGTTGTAGCTTACGATTATAGGTGGATTAGAAACCATTTAAATCATCTAAATGCAGAAAAGGCATTGACGAATAAGCAAGTTATGTTGCAACAGAAAATTCCCTATTTTACATGGAGCTAAATGTATAATGTAAGTACATTGTATCTTTCCTTAAATCATATCTTGCACGGGATGTGAGCTCAGGTTTTGATAGTAGCACAGTTCAACGGCAAAAGACTCTCTAAAATCTACACTTCCCTAAAGTTTTTAACTGATTTCAATGAAAACACTAGTATTATAAGGTCTCCTTGTTGTTTGATATTCCCAATGAAATGACCTTTGATACAGGTATAACAATTTTTGTGACAAGCTAACAAGTAAAAGTCCATCCATTATTAAAAAAGAGAGCATATGAGCCTGCAAAAAGATAGGTATGTTACAAAACATGTACATGTGCATGTATGCCTACAGTGTATTTACTAGGAAAAACACTTAACTGAAGTTTTAAAGCACATATAGATATGCCCCGCTTATAAACTTAAATTGACTATTTCATGTAGGACTTAAACTATTGCACAGGAAATGAACACAAAACAACAACACTACCGGTACTCAACTGCCACATTCCACATGTGCAAGTTTGTCAGTGAATGTCACGGCAGTACAACCATGGTTACAAGTTCACAACATGGTCGCAACTTTGCAAATACTAGGAGCTGATATATTTTAATCATTTAATCAAACTGCTTTTAGACTAGTACCGGGTAATTCAAGAAAACATTTCTTACCATGATGGCAGGTATTCCACTTCATATGAGCCCCACGTTATATTCCAAGCGAGAGTTTGAAAAGTTTTACAGAGAGCACAGACTGTGCAAGTCTCAAGGCTGCCACGTACGTGTATGTTGTAAAACAATACATGCATACCCTAACCATCCCATGCTATATGATTAAGTACGAAGCGCTAAAGGGATACAGAAACTGTGTATGCTACAGAGAGATAAAAATGAGGTATTTCCTGCTTTCGCAATCGACCAAAGGAAGTGAATTCGCGCGGTAAGTTTGTAAACTGCCATCGACAGGAACTGGCTACTCAGGACAGCAAAGAGCCAATAAGATGACCATGACCAATCAAGGAAATTGAAATACAAGTTCATACACGTGTACGGTGTACATCATGTACTGTACAATCTTCCTATTAAAATAGATAGCAGTTTATTGTCACCTCCAAGTGACATTTATTTATTTTTATCTTCCAATGAAGAATGCTCTGAATTACAAATAGTACATGAGCAGAAAATGCAACAGAATCACTGGGAATTTTGAGCCCATTCTGTTGCAGTGACTTTTAAAACAGAAAAATGTAAATTGACTCTATTAAATTACCCTTTTTGTGACAAATTGGAAATATCTTGTCTACTTTTTGATCAATAAGTTATCTATGAAAGAGTAGAAACTAAAAATTTCACTATTCCCTGTTGTGTCCCTATTTTTTCCAGAATATTTTGTCAATGAAAACTTACTTTCAATATGAATTTCCAAAGTAAAAAAAGAAAGATTTAGACCACATTAAAGGATGAATATGGCTAGAAAAATGGGGGGGGGGGGGGGGGATGAAGATATAGCACAAATTAAGAGCATGAGTGACTCAGAATAACAAGATTACAAGTGTACAAAAATATCTAGAGAAAGGTGGATAGCAACAGAAGAGGGAAAATGGGATTTCTGACTTCTTGAGAATGGAAACTTAGAACAGACAAGCACAAGCTTTCTTGTGGATAAAATTATAAATCACTGAGGTACACTGAAAGCAAGGACAAAGTTTCTGTGCCTACTGGTAAGTAAATGGTAAGTGAGCTGCATGCTAAGGATAGGTACCTGGGAATATGCTATTGCCATCAGTGAAATTACTGCAGATGCCATACCTATCAACGGGCATGCTTGTGATTGCTTCATATATTAGGTTTGATTTTCTTTCCTCTTTTCAGGGTCATAAAAGCTGTTTAT